ACACCAGAAATAGTGTTGGCTATGTCCAGAATAAATGGTGCCACTGTTGCAAAGACATGCGTGTCATGTGGAGGTAAAATAACTTCAGAAGAACCACTGGGATTAGTCTCCGCAACCTGATCTTTGGGTTGCAACCCTGTCTACGAAGAATTAGAGGAACGTTTTATATGTTGGGCTGCATGGTGGCGCAGTGGTTAGCACTGTTGCCTCGCAGCACGAAGGTTGCAGGTTCGAAACTCAGCTCGGCTGCAGCCTTTCTGCGTGGAGTTGCATGTTCTCCCCATGCATGCGTGGGTTTCCTCCGGGTACTCCGGTTTCCCCCACAGATCACAACATGCCCTATAGGTTATAAATTGTAAGTCGCTTTGGATAAAAGCGTCTGATAAATAAATAAACATAAACATATATTGCATCATTATATATATATATATATATATATATATATATATATATATATATATATATATTGCAGTTTATGCCTGTAAAGGAAAACGGTCTTTGCTACTTAACACAGAATCAGTTACATCACACAAAACTTGAGGATTATGAAAATGACAGACAAGGTTGGAAAAAAGGACTTTGTTGCAGAGTTTAGATTAAAAAAAACAGTATTAATTAGTAAAAATCCCCTGTATCATTGAAGCCATGTTTGAATTCATAAAAATGTAGAAATAACTACATTTTGTTTAGTAAATTTGTTGTTGTTCTATTATTATGATAGAACCCTATTTTTAAAAATGGCTGCTGATTTCATGGCCTCCTACAGCACGTTTGAACCTTTCTATCAAAAACAAACAAATACCATCAGTTTGGAAGTCTGCTTTTGTTTCTCCTTTGTTAAAAGGTGATGACCCAGCTCTGTTGACGAATTACAGACAAATATCTAATCTGTGTGTCCTGGCAAAACTTCTAGGGACCCTAGTAAGAGCAATTGAAAGACTTTTTATATTCAAACAATCTTCTCTCAAGTGTGCGATCAGGTTTCAGAAAAAAGCACAGCACCATCACTGCAGCTACAAAGGTGATCAATGACATACTTGCTGCTCTTGATAAAAGGCAGTACTGTGCCTCACTTTTTATTGATCTGTCAAAGGCCTTTGACGCTGTAGATTGTGCTGTAAAGCTTCTCTATTGGGGAGGTCTGAACATGCAAGCTCATGGTTCACAGACTACTTGAAGGACAAAACTAAATGCATTGAATGTGATGGATTGTCCTCTGAATTTTTGAGTGTCCACAAGGGCGTACCACAGGGTTCTGTCTTGGGACCCCTCTTATTAATTATGTATATTAATGACATAGGACAAAATGTGTGTGATGCTAATTTGCACTTTTATGCTGATGACACAATCATTTACTGTTTTGGAACACCCCCCCCCCCCCCCCCCCAAAAAAAAAAAGCTGTTGAATTCTTACAGAAAACTTTTAATGAGGTCAAACAAACACTTCTGCATTTAAAATTGGTCCTGGATGCTGACAAGACTGAGCTAATGTTGTTTTCAAAGTCTAAAAAAGACCTCTATGTAACCCCTCAGTGACCACTCAAGGGAAACCTCATAGAGATGGTCCACACTTACAAATACCTTGGCTTCTGCTGAGCTTTAATTCTCTAAAATGAGGCTGGAAACCTCCTGTTTGCTGCGATGCTTAAAAGGATCCATTGATCTCAAGCGTTTGGCAGACTAAAGCACATTTCCTCCCAAGAACCCCTCCTCTGCTGTACCTTTTGTGTTTTGTCTCCTCCTGGCCCTGTTGAGATAAGCCTCCGTGATGCAGCCATCGACATGCTTCAGCGCTGGATTTCCTCCTCCATCCACTCTATATTTTTCTTGCATTATAAAAAACCTTTTCACAAATCAATGCTTTTGTGGTTTTTCTGGGTTGAGCGTCAGTCAGCTTTACATTTCCTGAATCATTTAGTTCCAGAGCAATTCGCGCTGCCTCCACAAACCACTGAATATATCTGGATTTCTCCCATTTTTTGACAAATTTGTCATATTCTTATTAAATATCTGCCTTGATTTAATGTCCGTAAGCATGCTAAAAGTTTTGCAGACAGGTCTGAGTAAATTTTGTGAATGTTTTGTTCCATGCAGCCCAAATTCCTGCAAAATTTTACATTTACAAGTTAAAATGGAAAGCTGTCAAGAGACCAGAGATTGTGGACAGTAGGGAAGATGCTGATATAAAAACAGCACAAAAGCACTCTGGTCTTGGTTGTGCTCCGACTAGCCCTTAGCTCTTCTGACAGAAAACTGAAAATATTTTCTTCATACTGTCCAGAAGCTAATATCAGAAAATTGTGCACATGCAGCAAATAAAATGCGTATTTTTCTTTATTGACAAATTGTGTATTTGAATCACATAAAAGAAAATAAGTGAATGTTTGCCGTTTTATAGAGCTCCTTAATCCAGTTTTTAATCTTTGCAGAAAATTAATCTGAAATGAGATGGTTTCCTCACGTTCTCATGACTTAACATTTATCAGGACAAACAGCTTTTTTATGCAGCAAATGTGTGTTCTGGTAGCAAATTTTAAGATAAAATAGTGAAATATTTGATTATTTTGTCCTGTTTTATTTGTTTTTGCATTTATTTTTCTTTGCTGAAACCAACAAATTCCTGATCTTTGGTTTGGTTACACTAGAATGTAGCACTTAATAATTTACAATCTTGTCCAATAATTATAAATATATATGAGCTTTATGAGATAATATGGATTTCTGCAGCTGACAGATTGAAAACCAAACAACCCAGGGACGTGACGGCTGTGCTGCTCCTTCCCTCCAGCTATGACAGAAGTTATATAACCTCATATCAAAGTGGCCATCATCGCTTTAGAGAGTTTTGCTTATCTGGAAGCTTTTCCTCCTCTTTGACACCACATATGAGATTAGAGCTGCTCTGGACTTGGCCTCCAGAAATGGAGGAGGTCCTTGGCAGTTCACAGCTGATCCTCACAGAGCTGCTGCTTTCACCCCTGATGACTAATCACACGCTCTCTATTCTGAGCTATTCCTGATAGACTAAGAGGGCATTTCAATGTGTCAGTAAGTGATGAAATGCTGAGAATATCTGAAAAAGCAGCCATCTGTCCCAATGGTAGACCGTAACACCACTCAGATATTTCTGCTGCTGTCAGGTAAAAGCTATCTAGAGCCTATCATGAGTTGGCAGACCTCAGCTACCGTTTACTCCTTCAATGTGAAGAGTGTATGTGTCTTTGGCAAAAGGAATACATAAAAAGTCACCTTTGCTCCACAAACACAAAAACAGAACAACTTTGCACGTGTCGCACAACATATTTCTGTGTAAATGTGAGCCAGTGACGTTTTTGCTGACCACCATAAAATCCAGACTTCAGTACAATTTCAGATGTGAAACATGTATCATTTCATTTTCAATAAGAGCAACTTTAACCAAAAATTACCTTTATGACACTTCAAAATGTTAAATTCAAATGGCAACAGCTTTCTCTACGGGAACGTTTTGTCTATTTTTTTTATTCTAGTCAACAAACATCCCAGAACAGGTCAAAACATCACCACAGACTCCACCTCTGTCAGAGCTATTATTAGAAAATGTCTTGATATGATTGATTTTAAAATGTTTGGAAATCATTTTACAGATCCTTCAATGGAAAATTTGGAAAACAAATCAGCTAAAAACATTTTTATGCCTCTTAACAACATTCAAATTCAAAAATACTTTATTAATCCCAGAGGGAAATTGATTGCTGTAGTAGCTCAGAATAATAATAATAGTCAAGTCATCAAAGAGTTGTTGTATATTACAATGACTGTTGGCAGGAAGGATCTCTAGTAGCGGTCAGTGTTGCAGCCAAACTGAAGTCTCTGACTGAAGACACTCTTCCGTTGTCGGACAGTCTTGTGAAGAGAATGCTCAGGGTTGTCCATAATTTTCTTGATTCTCTGGAGAATCCTTCTTTGCATTATCTCCTCCAGTGGTTCTGAAATTGCCGAAACTCTGACTGAGTCCTTGAAAGGGCTTGGAGTTCCTCCATCTTGTTGGGTAGTGATCTCACATTGCCCATTATGATCGATGGAAGAGATGGTTTGAATTTCCTCTTTCTCTGTCTCCGTTTTGCTCCCGCTCTGCATCCACGCTTCTTGGGTTTTAGCTCATTTAGGATTTGTGGCTTCAGTTGAGGTATTATTTCAGCCTTTCCAATGTTAATCAGCTGCTCCCGATTGTAAACCAGCTTGTTGCCATGGTTACGCATCATAACAAATGCTCAAAAAGTAAAAAAAGCTAAAAAAAATAGCAGTAAAAATCCTCCAAGCTTCACAGCACCAGAAACAGAGAAGTAAAGTGTCCAAAAAATACAGTTTTTCTTGATAAACTAGAAGAAAAAATGCCCAAGAAAAGGCAAAACTTGCATATAGTCAACAGAGCTACTCCAACATGCAGCCACCCAGAGCAGCGCAGTTCCAGAAAAACATAAACATTCTAACATAGTATACCTATATATTGTGGAGATTAATAAAAAAGCAAAAAAATAAAATAAATTTTAAGTTGTTCTTTTGCATTTGTATAGAAACCTAACTTTGGACCGAAAGCAACCATTGGACCATTCGGTTGTCGGTCTCGTCAAACTGTTGCACTTCATTTAGCAACAGAACAGCACTGGTGTAAGAGGTTCTCCACTCAATAACATCAGAGCAGGAGAAACAGCCAGCTGCTACCACTTCAACTTAAGGACAAACTACCAGAGCCCAAACAAGAAAAACATCATTTGAGGTCATAGACAGCAAAAGACATTTGGGCCTAGAAAACAGCGAACGGTGTTTAGCACTATCTCGTTTCCTCTTGAAATGCAGGTGTCTGGCAGAAGCGTCTCAGGGAAGATACCCGAGGGGAGACGTTCAAAACCTAGCTTGTTTTGTAGCTGGTAGCATGGTATAAAAACACAGTAGGCTGATGTCAATGTCAATAAAACCAGTTGGTTTCAAGTATATGAAGAATAAAGATTAAAATCCAATGACCAGATGTACGTTTTTTTTAATTGCATTATTTTTTTTTACATTTTTATCAACATTTTTACACACAAAAATATAAACTGTATATGCTTGTAAGCATGAGTTTAAGCACATTGATGTCATTATGCGCTTTAGAAACACTAACAGCTGTTACATGGTAACAAAAGGTAAAGAGCTGGAATCACGTTTCAGCTTCCAAATACTTTAAATACATGAAAAAGTTACAACTTTCTTTAGGACGGTCATTCACTGAAAATTATGATTTCTATTTAAATTTTTCCTTTATTTACTTAGGTGAGAAACTCACCTGCCACCTTTAACTGCCCAGAAAGTCACACAGCTAAGTAGGAGCTGACAGTATGTGGGTTTTGTAGCAGGAGACTAGAAGCTTCATCAGGTGTCTGACTTCTTGTGATCTGCTCCGACGGCCTCTGACACGCAGCTGAAGCCTTGATCTCTGAGTAAACACACACACCAAAAAAATCTAATCAAGTACCAACAAATACAGAATTGACAGTGAAGTAAACTTATACCAAAGTAAAACTTGAATTTCAAAATAAAAGTTTGTGCGATGTGTCACTTTGTTTCTATAGAGACACTTGTGTTTTGTTATTTCCAATGTTGATCTTTGAAATGTTTTTAAAAGTGTGGTTTACTGAAAAACAATTTTTTAAATGATTATTTCGGAATATAAGCGGTCATTGTGTTGTTCAAGCAGGCTGAACATGAAAATAGTCTCCTACACCCATCTCCTGCATTAGCTTCTGATAGAAAATAACGCTAGGATTTGAAAAGCCTGACAGATCTACATCACACTGTCACTTAACATTCATGGATCACCCATTTTGACTAGGGTGGGGAAGACGGTTGTTTGTTTAGCGTCCAGGAAACAGCAGAGAACATCTAGACTAGTAGAAGCTAATTATTAGCATTAGCAACCACCTCACGGCAGAACTCCTCCAGGCTTGTGTTCTTTGTGGAAATAAAACATCAACGCTGCAGAGCAAACAAAGTCAGTGGTAGATAGGGGTGTAACTGTATTCGGTTCGGTTCAGTGTTTTGAACAGCTGGGTTTGATAAATTTTTGGTATATTATTATTATATTTATTTAACATGTAAAGTGGCTCCTATAGTGAGCAGAACCAGGTGTCATCACAGGCTGCTGATCTAGCATGATGTCTTTAATTATTTCACAGGTTATTTACGCAGCTATGAGTGTCATGCTCATACAGACAAGTGTTGTGTTTGACTGTTGATGCTCCGTGTTTTTATTTCTCACACAGCCCAGAGTTTCTTCTTTTAAACTCGTATTAAGTAACGAGCTTCCTCTGCATCGTATTTTTCTTTGTAGGATGAAATTTTTACATCAATTGTCCCAGACATGACATTGACATCAGACATGTTTGTTTACATCTTTGCTGCTGCGTGTCTGCACAGTGTGAGAGAAGAGGGGAGGGGCGAAGCGACTCTCCTCTCAGCTTCTCTACAGGCTCCACAGTAGCAGTGACAGCAAGCTGGTTTGATCCGCTCTGAAAGGCACTGATCGGAATTTGCAGATCACTATTTTTTTTAACGGAGATCAGGCGCATGATGAGTCACTTAGTTTTTTTCGATTGCTAAAACTCAAAAAGCAAAAATGAGGCACAATTTTCACAACCTCTACTTCTGTTCCCAATCGCTTGACAGTTTATCACTACTTAAGATTTCCTTATCAAATTAGAACTCTGATTTTCCTCCTTTACACTCTGATGTCAATTTCACATTACCTTGCTGTCCAAACACAACACACAATTATCAGGTTTATACACACTTCTCACATAAATTCTCAAAGCTTCAATCAACAACACACAAATATTCAAATCTCTAAACTTTCGGGTCTGGCGAGCAATTTGCAATCAGGGACTGCAGCATAAAAGTAAGTCTCCACAAGGCTACCCAGGTGCATGAGTGGTTTCAGGACCACCCACGGTTTTCCATTTTATACCTTCCACCTTATTCCCCCTTCCTCAATCCCACTGAGGAGTTTTTCTCAGCCTGGAGGTGGAAGGTGTACGAAAGGAATCCATAGAGCAAGGTCCCACTGCTTCAAGTTATGGAGGAGGCTTGTAGAGATGTGGCCTTTGAGGCCTGTCAGGTCTTCATGAGGCACTCGAGGAGGCACTTCGAGCGCTGTTTGGACCAGGAGGGGGTTTAACTGTAAAAATAAAGTGCCCTGTCTCAAAACGTGTGTGTGTGTGTGGGGGGGGGGGGGGGGAACTATGAAAATAAAATGTTGTGTCTCAAAATTTGCGAGGGGGGGGGGAACTGTAAAAATAAAATGTTTTGTCTCAAAATTTGTGTGTTGTCTAATGTTTGTCTCAGAGAAAAGTGAGCACTGTCATACATTCAGTGTGTAATTCATTGTGTTCCATTTAGACAATTGTGTTTTCAGTTTTGCTCTTCAGTGTTCTTTCCATGCTTGGTAGTGTTCACCCAAAGGCTACTTGTGTTTAAGCAATGGATGGTATGTGTGTGTCATGTGAAAATGTGGCTGTTTACCAAATGAAAACACGTGTTCCATTTTGGGAACATGTTACGATATGTGATGGCAGGGTTTTGTTGCAAAGGGAAGCCACGGTTTAGGAATTTGTGTGTTATGTTTGGGGTTTTGTGTGTGCAGTTATGAAAGAAACGTAGTTTTGAAAAACATGTTTTAGCAATCGAAAAAAACTGTAATACAGAGTCCGTGCGGAAACTTGCCTAGGAACTTTCATCTGCTGCACTTAAATCACGCAAAAGTTCATTATTTGATGGAAAAAATAAACCGAAACGGTTCAACACTCTAGGGGCTGCAGGACTTAATTTTTTTTAAAGCCGACAGTCAAGTAATGAAAGTCAAGTCGACTTTGACTAGTTGTTGATGACATCATACAACTGAAGCGGCATGGGGGGGGGGGGGGGGGGCTGGAGTTTTTGACAATTAAAATTGTGCCCACATTTTCAAAGGTAAACACATTTCTTTTAACAACGATAGTTTCTGCATCTATACTGCTCTGTTTCAGCCCTCCCCCCCTCCCCCTGTGCAGCGGCCGGAAACACACTGGTGCGCCTGCAGCCTCTCGGAGTTCCTGCTGCTCTAAACATTAAAATAATTATTTCATTTTCTGTTCCTCACTTCTGATTACCTTCAATGGTGTCTGTTTGTTGCAACCACCAGGTACAAAAACTAACTTGTTTTTATTTGACTATTTTTCTGTCCTGCCTCTGTTTATTATCTTCCTGCATCTCCTCTCAATCCTAAAGAAACACTGCTACCTGGGTTCATATATATTCACCTTATGAGTTACCTTTGAACTGCAGTTCTAAAAGATCTACCAACCGCAAAAACAGCGGAGTGCTCCCGGCCACATCAGTTAGGTGCGTCACCGAGGACAAAACAGGTGATGCGCCCCGATCCACAGCAGCGAAACGCATCAGGCACAAATAAAAGAATAAAAGACAGAAAACATAAAAGGAAATGAGCCGACATGAAAGATTATGTGTTAAATTAGTTTTTGAGGTGGCGACACCTGATCTGATAATGTTACTGTGGCCGTACTCAGGACGCAGATGTCTGGAGCGCGTCAACAATCAGAGCTTTGCATGCGCAAGCTGGTTAAGGTTAGGATGGGGGTGAGGGAAAGGTTAAATTGCAAGAGGGTAAAGGTCACGATTTGGTTAAATGTCCGTTTTACTGCGGGTGTCAGTACCGACGCTCTGGCACAGCGAGTCGCCTCCCGACGCGCAGGAGCTTGTCACCTGCTGTCTTTTCCGAGGACTGCATCTTGTCATTATCATGTGACAGCGTCTAGTCGATGACAGGCATAAAAAGTCACTACAGAGCAGTGAAGTCGACTAGTTCATGTACCATTACACCCCTAGTGGTAGTCATGCTGCTGCTTTCCAATCTGAGGCGGGATGTCCAAATATCAGGATATAAGACTGCTGTGACTCTGATACGGCCTTCTGCTGGTTTCTGAAACAAGCACATCTGAGATTTTTTGCCCCAGAGTACGAACTGCAGGGCACTCATTCCTACTGGAGGCCACTGCAAATGCAAGTGTCCCACACCTTTAAATACATGATCAAGGACTGGTACTAATCTCCACCCTCACTTCAAAAGTTGTTCCAGTTCCCTCTTTATCTTCGTCACTACAGGCGGACCCTGATAGGTCAAAGCTGTGTAGAGCTGAACCAGTGAAGCGCCTGCACGGATCTTCTCCATAGCATCCTGTCCTGAAGAGACTCCTCCGATTCCAATAATCGGGACTTTACCTTCAATGAAACAAAAGCCTTTTTCAATTTGTACTGCTTTGTTTAGAAAAGAAACGTGTTTAGCTTCAGGACTAAGAACCTTGGGTGAGGCGGTACATTTCTCTGACGGTCTTAGTAGCGAGGTCTTTGAGAGGCTGACCACTTAGTCCACCAGCCTCAGACTTATGTGGGTCCTGAAGTGTTTCTGGCCTGGAAACAGTGGTGTTAGTCACCATTAGGCCATCCACTCCCAGCTGCAAACACAGAAGTAAGGACAGGAAGTGAGATGATGGTAGATGTGTGCGTCTGAAAAAAGACTTCACCTGTCTTCCAGTGTGAGGTGTTCTGTGACAAACAGAGGGATTGCTACTTAAGGTCTCTCCCATTAAGGCATGTATCCATCTCGATCCAATGAGCAGAAACACCCTCAGACCAGAACATTTCTGGGTCTTTAACAACAAAAATGCCTAAAACTCTCCCTCAACAAAGTTTGTGGCGCAAGTTTCAGACTGAGAAGCAAAAACAAAAACAAAGGTGGAAAGTTATTCTTAAACAAAAACCGTTGATAACGTTATTGAATTCAGGTAAGCTTTACCTGATATCTAAATGTGTTTGCTGAGTCATGTTTAAAGGGACCATATGGAAGTTTGACAGTCAAAACATGTATAGAAATAATAAATTTCTTCTTCATACATTCTCCTGCAATGCCCTGGTCCTGTAGAATGAGCCCTGACATTTTTACTGTGATTGCCTGTTTTTCTGTAAAATCACAGAAAAAGAGAGCTGCTCGGGTCGAGCAGGCTGCTTCATGTGCATTCACGCTCAGGCATAGCCCGTAGCATTTGCTATCCGTAGCTTTAGCAGCAGAGAGAGAGGCAGTGCCACTTTTGGGCCATTCCCATCTGTACCGGGTCAGCCCGGGCCGGGTAGCGTAGGTTGTTTACATATCTGGGTGGCCTGGTACTTTTCCGGGCCAACCAAGGCTCATTCTCAGCCCTCTTCTCGAAGGGGTCTGCTTCAGGCCGACCAGGGCCAACACACCCACTGCTGACAGCAAATTCACACCTTCCATTAGAGCACACCTTCCATTAGATTGGTGGGTAGAATCAGCCCACATGGGCTTAAGGCAAGGATGTGTGGAATCAACCGGGCCAGGGTGGGGCCAACTGGGGCTACCCGGCCCGGGCCGACCCGATACAGATGGGAATGGCCAATTTGTCGCTGTTCCTAACGCCTAGCGATGAACCTAGCTACATTTCTGAGGACCCTTAGCTACTTTCTGCAGAACTTTCTTCTAGATATTTCCTGCAAATTAGCACCAAAATAGCCATTTTCGCTCCGAACCGTTCGTTGGATTGACGCTGTTTCAGCTGTTATCAAGGATATAACAGTTACAGAACATCATTGGTGCTTTAGCGCACCTAGTAAGACATCTGACTCTCATGCAAAAGATCTGGGTTTGATTCCGGATGTGAACATAGTTTATTTGGAGTTTAATTTTTACATTAATGGTATATTTTTTTACACTAAGACGCCCAAATTTTTATTTGAGACTCGCCAAACGGCATTGAATTCACGGATAAAAAAGATGTGGGTTCAACTTTCATTTTGGAACAATTTTTCAAGCAAGGGAAGGGAATGATCTGAGCATGCAGGAGGGCTGACCCATCTTAAACCTTTGTTGGCTGTGCTGAAGAGAAAGCTACAGAACCACATTATTTAATTAGTTGCGCGTTCTCCTGTCCTCTGGGCCACCCACAACACACCCACAACACACCCACAACACACACACACACACACACACACACTGCACGTTCGGCCGGCCGACGAGAAAGTGCAGCTGCAGAGAAAGAAGCACGTTATTTTTATTAATTTGCTGTGTTCTTCTGTCCTCCGGGCCACACACATACACACACGGAGCTGACTGTCTCAGCTGCTATTTTCGTTCAGGAGTGTGCACGTACAGCGCCTCGTGCATGAGCCTACTATTGAAGCTGCCGTTACGCTTTTGGCCTGAGGGGGCAATCGCGAGCATAAAAATTCAAAAGTCCGAAAAGTCCCTTTAAGCTTCAGTGTAAAAATGTATTTTTATGAGAGTAAAACTTAAATGGAAGTAAAAACTTCCAAGCAGCTGTGCAGAGCTGCAGCTTAGCGTAAGGTGTGTGCGGTTTTCATGACAACGTGTGACGAGATAAGGTTTACTCATCAGAAATGACGACTGAAATAAATCTAATCAATCACAAAATAATAGGAAAGTGTAGATTTCTACAGAAGGGGAACTCCAAACCTCAGTGACAACATCTGCAATGTCTCGTTTGTCCTGGTCAGTCAGGTCAGGAGCGATTTTCACCAGGACCGGAGGTTTGTGTTTTTCCTGCAGTGCATCGCGCTCCTTCAGCACCTGAGAAGGTGGTGTTTTCAGTTTCAGGTGAGGAGGAAGGACAAGATCAAATAAATGTGCTGAAAGATATAAATACCTGCAAATGTAAAGAATTAGGAGTCTCTTCTACACAAAGGAATTTGTCAATGAAGCAAAATGATACAGAAAAAGACATTCATCTAAACCAGGGGAGGAACGCAACTAAATTTGTTCAAGGGCCGGCGTTGTTTCCAGCAGACACCGTGAGGGCCAGATACTCTTCTAAAATAAAGTTCAAGTATTATTTTACCTTTATTTATTAATACTTGAAATGGCTTTGTTTTCCATCTAAACTGTTTGATTGTAGTTTTTAGTTGTGTTTGGAGAACATAAACAATTATTGATACCTGGGGCATGAATTTTGCTGCTTAACTTCAAAGTCCCCCAGTTAGGGGTGTTGGGGCCCAAAGGGTTGGAGGGCCGGGTGGAAAAGTCTGACGGGCCGGATGTGGCCCGCGGGCCACCAGTTGAGGTTCACTGATCTAAACTGTTAATTATTATTATCATCATCATACCCACTGTAGCTAATCTAAACCACAAACATACTGCTGAAGGACTTAAATGATAAATGACCCGCACTTGTATAGCGCCTCTCAGAGTAAGGACTCCAAAGCGCTTTACACTACAGTGTATCATTCATCCATTCACACACACTGATGGTGATGAGCTACGAGGTAGCCACAGCTTTCCTGGGGCGCACTGACAGAGGTGAGGCTGCCGAGCACAGGCGCCACCGGTCCCTCCGACCACCACCAGCAGGCAAGGTGGGTTAAGTGTCTTGCCCAAGGACACAGCAGAATTCTCTGTCCGCAGCCAGGCTCGAACCTGCAACCTTCCGATTACTGGACAACCCGCTCAACCTGTTGAGCTACTGCTGCCCTAACTTGGCCTCTTCGCCATGGCCCTTATCAACCTTAACTGTCCTTTAGATGTGTGTGTGTGTGTGTGTGTGTGTGTGTGTGTGTGTGTGTGTGTGTGCGTTTACAGCTGTAGAGGCTAAAGTCGGAGCAACTCCAGGGAAATACAATCGATTTCTCTTTGCTACTGAGCACATCAGCCAAATTAAAAAGACGCACACTACACTCAGAACTATTTATAAGGAAATGTGCGGCGCTGCGGTACGTGACAGATTCTGAGGGTGTGCAGAATGTGTTGTAGCACCTGAACTGGCTAATCAACTCTTCAGGTTTTACTGGAATCGTCCCGACTTGAGCACGATGGAAAGAAAATCAATATTTAACTTAGAGACAAGTCATTCCTAAAGCTCCAGAATGAGTCGGAGACAAAGACTTCTGTCTCCAACCTTCATCTGCAATAAAGCTGATGCTTCAGAGGAAGTTGTGTTGGAGCTAAGATGTCAGCACATGAAGGTTTCTAGGTTTTATAGGCACTTTCAACAAAGAGCTCATTTCCACTGCTGTGTTCTTTCTAGTGGTAAAAATCTGTGGAAAGGAAATCAAAAGAACTTATGCAACATTTCAACCACAAATTCTATTTTATGTGTGTAGAAAAATTCAAAATAACTGTTTTCCCTTCCCAAACTATACGAAATCACTGGATAATAACAAAGTAGTAACTAATACCAGCTTTATAGTCAATATATGTTTATAATAAAACAATATAATGATCATAAAATAATTGTTTTGCTTTTTCTTCCCTAAATGTTTACTAGCTGTAAAGGATTACATCCTGAGGGAAACAAAACAAACAAAAAAATAAAAAAACTTGAGGCGTTTTGGTTTTTTTCACGTTTATGTCAGCTGTTGGGTGATTAGATGCACCTCCTACCAGGCGTAGCAGCTGACGGAGTTCAGCCTTCCCCTGAAGGTTTCTGAGACCTGGCGTATTGGGACTACTGACGTTGACAACCAGGTAGTCGGCCAGAGGCCCCAGCGCTCTCACTCCCTCCAAGTAATCTGCTGATGCATCCTGGGAAAGCTTGTTCTTCCCCAGGTTGATGCCCAAGGGAAGGCCAGCTATGAACAAAACACCCACACATGATTCAGGTGAACACAAACGCGACCTGCACCATTAGACCTAACGAGGGCAGAAATGCTAAATGAGCTATTTAAAAAAATGAGACAAGGACACGTTGGGATTATTTAACCACAGCTATAATAAAGGTCAACATAGAATAAATGAATCTGGACTTGGATTTCCTCATCAAAAACTACAGAACACACTCATCTTTAGATTACAGAAAAGCATAAAGAAGATTCACAAACTTTTACTGTGTTCTTGCTGCTTTGCTTCTCTGGCCTTCAGCCTCATCTGAACTTCGGCCAAACCACAACTGTTGAACCCATATCTAAACAAAACACACAAACATATTATTATTGTTATGAAATACAAATGAATTATAAAAACAACCCTAAACGTTTCTCCACAAGTTAACTGAAAACATGATTGAAAGGCAACTGGCCGTGTCTCAAAGCAGCGTTGTCTGATATCAGTCCTGCAGAGCCACCATCCAGCATGTTTAGATTGTTTTCCTGCTCCTAAACACCTGATTCAATGGCTCATTATGTTCATTATGTCATTAGGCTCTGCAAAAGCCTTTAATCACCCACTGATTAAAATCAGGTGTGCTGAAGCAGTCCGCTTTGATCTATTTTGAAAACTCCGATCAAAACCGATGGGGGCGCTATCGGCCGATTGGGATCAAATGCCGATCCATCGGTGCATCTCTAGTACAAGTTACATGTAATATTGTCTCAATCCTAGTTCCATAGAACTGCAGCATAATTTTTTTAAATGTGAATTATTTTCCAGAAAAACCTCTGCTTAATAAATGTTCCAAAACATTATTGTCAGCTGACTTTTATTTGTAATAACCTATTTCAAATGAAGTACTTGGTCTGATTATTGATTTGATAAACTTTGGTTAGATGTTTGATTTTAACACTGTGTACAAAATTGGGATTCAATAGTTGGTTTAATTCGGTGTTCAAAAAGTGATCAGGCTCAGAAATGTTGTGCATCCACTGTTATCTTCCCTTGCCTCTCCGCTCCATATCTTCATTTTCAACGTTCCGAAGAGTTCTGGTTGAACATCTTCAGAATATTTGTCTACCGTAAATCCTCTAATATTAGCCTGTATTCAATTAACGGCCGGGTATCACATTTTGGCCGGTGTCGGAGTCGGCGGAGGTGAATAATGGCCGTTTTTTTATTGTGGCCGGGTGGAATGTGGTAACAAGCAAGTAAGGGGGCGGTTGTGTCATCTGTCTCACTTTTGATTTGCCAGTGACAGACCGCGAGGGTAACTTTAACCGTGCGGAGACGAAGAGGAGGTGAAAATTTGATATCAAGTTCAAAGAGAACGTGCTGATTATGCTGCAGAACACTCTGGGGAGCAGTAGGGGTTGTATGAACTAGTCGACTTCACCGCTCTGTAGTGACTTTTTATGCCTGTCATTGACTAGTCGCGGTCACGTGATAATGACCGGCAAGATGCAGCCCTCGGAAAAGACAGCAGCCTGCTGTCAGCAGGTGACAAGCTCCTGCGCGTCGGGAGGCGACGCGCTGTGCCAGAGCGTCGGTACTGACACCCGCCGTAAAACGGACATTTAACCAAATTGTGACGTTTACCCTCTTGCAATTTAACCTTCCACTCACCCCCATCCTAACCTTAACCAGCTTGCGCATGCAAAGCTCTGATTGTTGACGCGCTCCAGACATCTGTGTCCTGAGCACGGCCACAGTAACATTATCAAATCAGCTGTCGCCACCTCAAAAACGAATTTAACATGCGATCGTTCATGTCAGCTCATTTCCTTTCATGTTTTCTGTCTTTTATTCTGTTATTTGTGCCTGAGGCATTTCGCTGCTGTGGATCGGGGCGCATCACCTATTTTGTCCTCGGTGACGTACCTAACTGATGTGGCCGGCGAGCAGCGCGCACTCCGCAGTTTTTGCGGTCGGTAGATCTTTTAAAACTGCAGTTCAAAGGTAACTCATGAGGTGAATATATATGAAGGCAGGTAGTAGTTTTTCTTTAGGATTGAGAGGAGATGCAGGAAGATAATAAAACAGGCAGGACAGAAAAATTGTCAAATAAAAACAAGTTAGTTTTTGTACCTGGTGGTTGCAACAAACAGACACCACTGAAGGTAATCAGAAGTGAGGAAAAGAAAATGAAATAATTATTTTAATGTTTAGAGCAGCAGGAACTCTGAGAGGCTGCAGGTGCATCAGTGAGTTTGCGGCCGCTGCACAGGGGGAGGGAGGAGAGGGCTGAAGCAGAAACTACCGTTGTTAAAAGAAATGTGTTGAACTTTGAAAATGTGGGCGCAATTTTAATTGTCAAAAACTCCAGCGAACCATTAGTTCATTTTGCTCAAATAGAAATTGAGGCCTGCCTCTAATTCTGGCCCTCCTTCCAATAAAGGCCTGGAGCTTGATGAGCTTGAGTCAAATACAGGCCCGGGCCTGTATTAGAGGATTTACAGTATGTTACTAATTGTGTTTACTGGACCTATGACCACACTGGTTACAAATATACTTTTTAATTTATTTTTGTTTCTACATATGTTCCTCTTGGTCTTTTTCACTAATGCAGTGGTTGTCTTTATAGCATGTCTGAGGTGGGGTTTGTGCTGGGTGGGGTGGGTCTGAGCATTGTGAGCCACTGCGTGTGCTTGTGTTTGGGTGTGTGTGTGTGTACTGTAATGCCGTCTATGAAGTGTAACCATATGCATCTCACCTGTTAATAACGGCGTGATCTGCAGGCAGCCGAAACACACGTGGTTTGGGGTTTCCCTCCTGAGGTTTTGGAGTTATTGTTCCCACTTCAACAAAGCCAAAACCCAACTTGTACAAGCCATCTACAGCCTCCCCGTGCTTGTCAAAGCCAGCTGCAATCCCAATGGGATTTTTGAACTTCAGTCCAAAAACATCCACTTCCTGCAGACACATCAATGAGCAGAATAAAGGTTTTTACTAGGATTAGTCACTGTACACAGCACAGTAGATGACTTACCAATGATGCAGGGTCCTGGAACCTGTTCAGAGGAACAAGACCCATTCCTAGCATCTTCACTGATAACACGTGAGCCGTTTCTGGTCCCACGATGCTCTGCAGCAGAGGCATCAGCTGGTTCGCATAGAAATGCTCATCTCCAACCACGGTGAGGTAAGAAGCAAACAGAAAGCTTCCCGAGCTGATGACCTTCACAGCTTCTTTGAGCTTTTTCTGTTGATGAAAATGAAAAATACGTTTTTAAATGACTGTGTCTGATGGTTCACACACACAAATCTAGAAATAATTTGAAAATGTATTCATATATTTATTGTGAATGTTTCTTCATCAGTCCGTACCTCCACACAGTGTTTTATAGTCATACACAGAAATGATAACCTGCAAGGCCATTATGTGTCCATGAACACCGGATATTAATATAAAACAGGAAAACAAAAATAACTCACTTGTACTTTCTGATAAATGAAAGTCAAATTATAATCTGTAGAAAACTCAAAATTTCAATACAAGTTTAATATTTTTTCACATGCAGAAACAGTTTTTAACATTTTATTTGATCATGTTCTAACATCCACCGATGCTGACAGACAGGTAACGATCGTGAAACTAGGAGATAAGAGAGTTTATGAAGCTCTGTCAGGTTACTGTGCCCAAATCAGGGCAAACAGTTTTATTTGTGCAGTTTTATGTATTTTAATGAAGAGGGGGAGGTAGTGGTTTAAAATAGGTGCTGTTTATCATCTATTAAACGTTTACATTTGTTTCTGTCATTCTTGAAGAACAGTCGAACGTTTTATTTTACCCTTAAGAGCCGTTCTTATCAAAACTGTTATCTCAAGTAAATAAAAGCATATGGGTGTTTTATGGCGGCATTCGTGAGAAATATACTAGCTTTGGTATAAATAAACGGTATTTCTTGTTTGCTAACAGAGGAGCCGAGCCAACGAACAGGAAAGATTTAACTCTGTTAAACTTTGGTTGTAAAACAACGTCCGAAATTACCTTTAACAGTCCCGCCATTGCCTTCAGAATGAAGGACGGTTGAGCCGTATCACTTCCGGTAAGTTACACAAGTTAACTCACGCGCTTCCTCCCGGTTTTCTCGCGATACTACAGTGAAATTGAAAAAAATTGATTTATTCTGATGTTTTTCAAGGAAATATTCATGATTTTTAATTCACAGTGTGCTTACACATAGGAAATTATTGTTATGATAAATACAATAATAAATTATATGCTTTAAATGTTGAAGCTGATTATCACTTGTAAGTCGCTTTGGACAAAAGCATCTGCTAAATACATAAACATAAACATAAACGTAAATGTTGTGTTGAATTAAAAAAATTACCGTCAGTTTACTGAAGAAGAGCTGGAGTTACCTATAACATCCATGACTCCTTCACTTTGCATCTTGTTTGAGTGGCTGCATTGATTTTCCTAAAGTAATTGGAACATATGCAGAGTTGTTTTTTCTTGGAGGAGGTTCTCATTTCTCTGGGACAGGTTGAATTTACCATTCCTAGTTGAGGGTCCTGCAGCATTAAGTGTCTCAACCCAGCAGCAATGGACGTGCTACAAAGTTTTATCTTTCTGTGGATTATAGCCGGGAATCTGCCTTCATCTGCAAACTCTGAGACTAGTAATAACCTTACAGTGCCGTGTGAGTTTGTTTCAAAAGATGTCTGTTTGGAGTTTGTTGAGGAGTCACAGACCTGGTCCCAAGCCAGCAGCAGCTGTGAAGAGAAAGGAGGGAAGCTTCTGAAGGTGTTGAACAGCCCGATCAAAATGTACCTGAATAACTTCACCAGAGAGAAAAACACCAGTACCTTCACCTGGTGGTTGGGAGAAAGGGTCAGAGTTCCTAACCAGGAGCTTTCTTTGGGTGAGTAAAGGACCATTTAATTTTTCCTTACTTAAAATGACTGAAAAGTAAAAAAAAGAAAAAAATGTTTTTATTTAATTATTGTGATTCATTCTGAATCTAGAGTGACTATGAAGGAGAAAAAATACTTTATAGTTTTTTTTACCAATCAGCAAACACAGTGAATCTAAAAGTTTTATAATTAATCGCAAATTCTCATAAATAAATGTTTAATAAGACAATAAATATCTGAGAAAAGTTTGTATGTTGTCTGTAAATAAACTGGTTGGATTCTAATGTGGTTTTTGGTCAGTTAGACTGTCATAAACCGATTGTGGAAACAGTAAAGTTGGGCATTTTACACAAAAATACTACACATGCAATGTTTAGTATTGTGTAAAATAATGCCCTCCTTGTCCGCATAAATACCATTTAGATGTCTGATGGCCAAGTTTGCCGACTGAAGTTGTTTTGTCTGATGCCACATGTGTTTTTGCACAAAATCTTCATTTAAAGCAGAAAATGCCAACGTTTCAAAGGATCTATGCACCTTCATGAAGCTACGTCCCCTGCAGTTCTTTACATCCAGCTGCAACAACAAACATGGCTTTTTCTGCATCTACAGTATGTCAAAATCCTTTTTGCCTCTCAATCTTTGTCCAGATTACAAAGAAGTAGTTTATTACAACAATATATGATTGAATTTCTTTTTACGTTCAAACTGCTCTTGGTTAAAAATGTCATTCTCTGTTGAAGCTTTGAAGTCTCCACAGCGGTCAAAGGTAAGAGGTGCTTCTAATGTTATCTGTAAAACTTTGTAAATGACGTTGTAAGTTTTTTAAATTTCTCCTCTTTAGCAAGCAAACATGTCCAGCGATGCAGTTAAATCTCGTAAGTTACACTTTTGCTTTAATTATATCTTAATGTATAACAGACACAAGTTTTGTCTTTTATTCAAAAACAAACACTCCGATTTCAGGGATCAAAAGGGGCATTTCAGATTTCTCAAATGGCATGGCTTCGAATATCAACGACATTCGCAATCTGCTTCAGGTGATAAAAGCCCATTTCATTTTACTTCAACTGTTCATGAGTCATAATTTAGGAAAGTATTTGAGTTTTTCCTGAAAAAAAAGTACAAATGTGTCAATCTTACATAAAAGTTTACATGCACTCTCTTTTTCGGAGGCAGTTTGCGGTTAAAGAACTGAAGAGAATGGAGACTACACCAGGAGAGCCAACAAATGACAACAGGGTTCGGCTGTTTTTCTCTTGTCTTTACATTTTTTCATCAACTCATCAGCTGTGTTGAATTTATTCAGCTTTCTCTTCTCGCAGGACAACTTCATTAGTTACGTGTCAAAGGGCACCGGTAAACTGAACCAAACCTTTGCTGTTAGTAACAAGCCTGTCATTGAGTCCATCATTGGCTGTTGCATCGGCATCATGCGTCTGTCTCTGAAAAAATGTGATATTGCTCAAAACCCAAACCCTACAGTGAGCTGGTCTGCTTCGCATTAACATACAAATGCGTTGTTACTGTTTTGGCTCCTAGAAATGGTCATCATTGTTCTTTTGTTCCACTCTAGTCTTTGTTTGAGAACATCTTTGAGACCATTCGTGTAGCTTCTCTGCTGCTGGGGCCAGACATCAATCAGACAATTGTCACCAGGTCCCTAACGAGCACCATCTATTTGAAAACGTAGGTCTATTTCGCATAAATGTTTAACGCAAATTGTTTTTAAATCCGACTTCGCATTAAATTTGAATTCTCTTCCATTAGGTTCTTACCCAAAGACCTCAACAATGCAGTTTTGGGCTCAGTGAGCGATGGGGGATTTGTTCAGCTACCTCCATATTCAGCCCTTCAGTCAAGCCTTGGAAAATATGCCACCGTCACCGCACAGGTACGCGTGAATGTGTGTGAGAGAGAAGGAGAAAGTAATTTGCATTCATGTTTACATTTTAGTCGCTGTCATTCGCAATATTTTTAAAAAGGATTTTGTTATTTTTAGATTGCTACATTCCCAGATAATCCTCATCCCTCTGAGGACAACATTACAGGAAGTGTTTGCGACTTGGCGCTTATCGGTGGACTGTCTCCTGTTAGGCTGCAAAACCTGACACAGTGGTTTGAGGTAAACATAATGTGAATAATTGACAGATTTCAGAAATAAAACATTTGTTGGCATGTTTAGAACATGTATTTATACGGCACATCAGGTATCATTAATATCTAGACACAGAAACCAAATGCAAAAGTGGATTCTGAAACAAAACAAGCAGCCCCCTTGTGGTTGGTTTCAGTATAGGTTTTAAAGGTTTTAAAGGTTGAATATAACTGGCAAACTCTGGTGTTAAGAGGTGGTATTGCAACAACAGAACTCATTTTCCAGCCGTCGGGATGTTGGTTCACTGCTGACAGGTTCCATCACCATGTTCAGGGACAAATCATACAGAACAAGGACTAATTTCTACTAATACGCTTATTTTACAACTTTTGTTTACTGTTGGAACATCTTCTGGGCTCAGAATCAGCAGCTTGTCTTGTCAAGTTCGCCATTTTAAACAGTCCCAGCCTCGCCTTGCTGAGCGGACTTTTTAGCTCCCTCTAGTGGCTGGTAGATGTAAACATAAACCCAGTGTTGTGCCTGTCAAAATATAATTTTGATATATATATATATATATATATATATATATATATATATATATATATATATATATATATATATATTTTATTAAGCTTTTAAAGTAAAAACTGTGCACTCATTCTGCACACCTCTAATTGCTCCAGGGAGGTATTATTTTTTTAATATAGTTTTATTTAAATATTTCATATTCCACTTTTAATTACCGTCCCCTCCATTTAAACAAATATCAAAAGTGTTTCACCTCAAAGAATTGTATCTGTTTACTCTTATTCATTCAAATAGATATTGCTGCTTTTGTTTTCAACGAAATAACAAATTAAAACACTGTGAAGGACGTTCAGCCCCTCATACTCAGAATGTGACTCTAAAATACAGTATGGTTGTCTCCGTTATGGGACATTTGTCTTCACTTTTTCACTACAGAAGTGGGCGGACATGCCTTTTTTAGTCATTTTAACTATGAAAATTAAACAAAATTAACCATCTAAAACCACAAAGATAGAAAAACTAAACATCTAAAAGCTCTACTAGAGAAGAAGGTGAAAGGGTGAAACTGACACTTTATCAACAATAGTGAAGCATTTGCAGAATGAATCAGGAAATTCTGTTGAGCTCATTAAAAAGCTTTGTGACACATCTTGCTGTCTCTGGTTCCCTCAGATCTTTCTGAGTCGTCCAAATCCTGCACCACTGCTCAACAGTACCTTCGTGTTGACTAAAGACACCAAATCTCTGTCTACAATTAACATCTCAGATCCTCAGATGACCATGTTTTTCAACGTAGAGCCCAGTGCCAACGTGTCGTTGGTTCTCACTTTGGCTTACGGGTCTCCCCCCAACTCCACAAATTTCAGGAACAAGACCACCTTGAACTCCACAGGTAACGGTCTACACCAACAGACTGGTCTCCTGCTGTGGAAAACCAAAACTCTGATTGTCTTTGGGTTGTAGATTAACATGTTTTTGCTTTAAGGAGACTATCGGTGGATGATAACACCAGATATGTTGCAGCGGACTCCAGGGACTTGGTACATAGACACCAGACTTTCAAATTACACTTCTGAAACAAACGTGACATTGACGGCCGCCATTTATTTGACCAAGTGTCTGTACTGGAATACAGATACAAAGAACTGGAGCACTAGTGGATGCATGGTGGGTTGAGCAAGCCGCATTTATATTCTTGTGTCAGTGCTCGTTGTGTACCACAAAGTGACGTGTGTATTCGTCTCAGGTGGGAAGTAAAAGTACGCCGAATCTTACACAGTGCCTGTGCAACCACCTGACCCTGTTTGGGAGCTCATTCTTTGTGATGCCAAACTATGTTGACATATCTCGAACAGCAGAGCTCTTCGCCACCGTCACTAACAACTATGTGGTTCTGGCCCTGCTGTGTGCTTTCTACGGGCTTTACCTAATCACTTTGCTGTGGGCCTGCTACGCTGATCGCCACGCGGGCTCCAAGGTCAGTATTTGCACTTGTGTAATATTGTATGTTCTGCACATTATTATTATGTTTTCCACATTCAAACATTTTCTCTATGTTTGATGCTTCATCATCAGAGGAAGGTAACTCTGCTGGAGGACAATCACCCCGGAGCTCAGTACAATTACCTGATCGGTATCCAGACTAGTCACCGTAAAAGCGCTGGTACTTCTGCTAACGTAAGAGTTTCATTCTCACTGACAGGGTCATGTTTCTTACTTTTTTTTGACTTTTTAAGTCAAAACAGTGACACATACGAGCCCTGCTGTGAACAGAACAAGTTCACACAAAAAAAAAAACATGACACATAATAACACCCACATCACCCCGCTTCTCCTCCAGCTTCACTGGCTGCCAGTCAACTTCAGGGTTCATTTCAAGATCCTGGTTCTGGTCTATAGGGTCTTACATGGACAAGCACCATCTTACATTGGTGACCTTCTTAGTCCCTACACCCCCAGCAGGTCCCTGAGGTCCAGTGATCCAGTGTCCAGGCTAAAGACCAAAGGTGACAGATCATTTGCTGCTGTGGCCCCCAGACTCTGGAACTCTCTCCCCCTGAACCTGAGATCAGTGGTCTCCTTTAAAAAGCAGCTGAAGACTCACTTGTTCAAGCTGGTTTTTGTATGACCTTCTTCACCACTCTCTCTATATTCTGCTCTCCCCACCTATTCCACCTTCCTCAGGATCCACTGGTTTCCCTCTTTCCTGTTCACTCTCTTTCTTAACATATTTTTAATCACAATTGTCTATTTTTTGCTCATTGTAAAATATATTTTTAACCATTTTCTAAATTCTTTTTTACATTTTTTGTTTTTGTGAAGCGCCTCGTGATTTTTTATCTTGAGAGGCGCTATAGAAATGATATTTTCTTCTTCTTCTTCTTCATTAGTAATTATTGAAAGAAACAACTGGAAAGGTTAAACCCTACGGCACATAGATGCCAAATGTTAATTTGATAACATTTGTGTTAACTATGAGCTGAAATAAAGTGGTTATATTTTCTCTTCCTAACGTTTTACAGTTTCTAAAGAGCAAGTCACCCCTACCAGTCTTACTCCACTCCCATTTCCTGTTTGAAAAATGCAATAAATGCTGTTGCTTGGCAGACCGAGAGGGCGGAGCCGCTAACAAATACACACACACAGGCTCACAACGGCATTGTGACATCATATGGTACCAGCTGACATCATAGGGTACTTCTTAGCCCATAGCAATGGCAGATTTTAAATCGAATGCGGTGCAGAGTTTTTACCTGAAGACGGCGCAACATTGACAGTTTTAGGCAGAATATTTAAAGAACTAAGATGCAAGTAAAGTGCCAAATTATTGACTACACGTGTCTACAGCATGATTAGGCGCTCATTTATATAGTTTATCAGCAAAAGAAAGTTGATTTGAGGGTGACTTGCTCTTTAAATCTTTTGCATCAGCTATATGTGGGTTGCTGGAGCGTTACTGTGGTGCTGTTTCACCAGTGCCCTGTGCTGTCCTGCAGGTCACTCTGAAGCTGATTGGCTCAGATGGGGAGAGTACCATTCACAACCTGACCGATCCCGACAAGCCCGTGTTTGAAAGAGGAGCTTTTGACATGTTCCTTCTGTCCACACCCTTCCCGCTGGGCGACATGCGAAATCTTCGTCTGCAGCACGACAACTCAGGCGGTAACCCTTCATGGTACTAAATGCTGAGCTTTTCAAACATATTAACCTTCGAACTTTGATTTTTTTCAATGTCATGGATTTTACCAGTATATTTAGCAATAACCCCATTTCCTATAGTGAAGAGAGAAGGAGACAATGAACAGACAAGTCAAACAGTTATAACTGTGGCATAGTGCATGAGGAAAAATGCCCTGAACATCTGGTCAAAGAGTTTATTTATACCAAGAGATAAGAAAGGAGAGAGAGAGAGAGAGAGAGAGAGAGAGAGAGATTTTGTGTGTGTGTGGAAAGTCAAGAATGTGTGTGTGTGTGGCTTGTGTGGGTGTGTCTGAATAAGTGAGCATGCAAAAAGGCATAGAGCAATACATTTACATTCAGTTGATTGAGTCCATGATCAAGAATTAATAAACATAAAGCTCTCCTCTGATCTGGCAATCTTCCAGTTCCTGAAACAGTTCAAACCACAAACTGTGTCCAAAATGTCTTTTTTGTCCAGCTGTAAGTTGTTGGCTTGTAGACATACTTGAAGTAGCAGTTGGGGCAGCAGTAGCTCAGGAGGTAGAGTGGGTTGCTTCATGATCGGAGTTGATTCCAACTCCGCCCAGGGGTATTCTGTTGTTGTGTCCTTGGGCAAGACACTTCACCCAACTGTCACGTTGTGGGGATGTTTAGTACCCAAATATGCAGATTACCCAGACGACAAGAAGCAGAAGTTGGTTCAAAGTAAAAATCCTTTTATTTGCAGGAAAAAAGAACAAAATTAAATCCAAGGCAGTGAGCCAAAGTCCAAAAGTCCTGGAGCACAGGACACCCAAAGCTCTCTTAGAGCACCAAAAAAACCTAGAGATCAAAAGCTCACTAAGAGCAAGAAGACCTGGAGACAAAAACTCAACCGGAGCACGAACAACGCTGACAAATACACAATGGATCGACAACCACACAGAGACAAGACAGGGCTTGTATGGACTGGGAAGATGAGAGGGAGATGAATTGCAGGTGTGTGGGGAGAGGGACCAGGTGAACACAATTACTAACTCAGGGAGGAGGAAGAAAACACTGGTGGGAAAAAACACACTAAATAATGAAAGGCTGTAACAAAGGAAAATGACCTAAGAGAAAAACAAAAGACCAAAAGGCATGAACCATAACTAATATTCTAAGGGGAAGCTGACACTAAAGGAAAACACTACAGAACGAAACTACAGGGGCGTGGCTAAGAGGGGGCCAAGAGAGCACAGCACCTGGGAGAGGGAAGTCTGAGGGGGGAAACCTAGAGGGCAAATGGGGAACACCGGGAGACACATGAGGAAGATGCATACACGACACATGAGGGCGCTAGAAGACACAAAATGAGCACCTAGAGACGAATGAGGACAAAAGGAGACACATGAGGTGAGACGCAGACACAGACCATGACACCAACTTGCTTGTGTTGGTGGTGGTGAGGGGGGCCAACGGCACCAAATGGCAGCTTCGCCTCTGTCAGACCGCCCCAGGGTGGCTGCAGCTACAAAGTAGCTTACCATCACTGGCAGTGTGTGAATGTGAGAGTGCATGAAAGCATCTTTGAGTGTCCTAAACAAGCTCTATATAAGTTTGATGTATTATCATTATTATTGTAACAGTAGAATGTATGTAATCATTTCCTGTCAGCATGCTTCCCCAGCGACACTTGTTCTGAGTAGAGCTGCTTTTGTGAAGGCAGTAATCTGCTGGCTGCAGGCGCTCAGCCGTGCCTGATTAGAGAAGACTGAAGAACAACAGAATGTAGCAGAACTTGACTAATTCATGACGGAAAAAAATAGTTTTCTCAAATACATCAAATCAAAGACAACAGAAGAGAGTCAAGTTTTAAAAGTTTAACGATTTATTACTAAACAAATTAAAACTAGACTGACTTCAACACTAAATGTATGGTGTAACTAAGGTGAATGAGACAGAGAATAGTGTAGTGTGGAATGTTGCTCAGAACCAGCAAATCCAAAGAAATGATTAGTTCTGGTGGGAAGTGAAGGTGATGTCTTCGCGCTAAGCTTTGATTAGGAGATTCATAAACACATTCAATGCCATTCTGTTGGTCTACGTACCCTTAGCGGATGTCCCTGTCTAGTTCAGGAGGTGTAGAGTAGAGCCCTGCACGGGACTGTTTTCTTCATCCCGCTCTCGCTGAATTTCTGACCATTACCGCCCGCAACCGCAACGTGTGTGTTACACTCTCGCCCGCACCCGCAGTGTGCATGTCTACTCCCGCTCGCAACCGCAAAACTGTGAGAAATTATTACCTCACAATAAAAGAGATGTATTGAGTTTGTGCCCTCTCTGGTCCTGGAGAAAACATGTCATTAGGCTATACCAGGGGTCGGCAACCCGCGGCTCTTCCATCCATCTGATGCGGCTCTCTGTGCTTGTAAAATAATGACTGGATATTTAAATAAAATGTTTTATATTTCACTGAATTAATTTTATATCTGTAAGTCAATTCTATGTAAAGATTGTCTGCGTAAACATGAACAGTTCCAACCCGGTCTTACTGTGAGACCGGGTTGACGGGTCACGCTTGTACGTAATCATATAGGCGCTTTATGAGCTGAAGAGGATGTGAGATTCTGGGATTCTCCTCAGACGGCTCCTGGATGTGTCGCCACATTGGAGACAGGAACAAGCGCTATTCAGCCAAAGTTTCATAATCAGGGAACATTTTCTAAGTGACAAGTCTCTCTGAGAGACAGGGTTTGGAAAACACTCGCTTCAGTGAGAGGAACCTTCCTGCATGCGCTCTGGTTCTGCGACGCGCTCCAAGCCTCTCTCCACATCTTCAGCTCGCTGTGCACCGTACGTACACTCTGACAGGGAGCTGCGCTGAGCAGTGTCCATCTCAGATGTTCAGATGGGAATCATTTCTTGAGTGATTTACCTACATCCGTGATGTGCATAACGAATAAAATGTCAGTTCGTCTGCATGCGTCGGGGTAATTCTTTCTATTCTTTCTCCGTCAAAATAAACGGTCAAATACAGGAACTATCCGGTCAGCACAAGCCCTGCTTTTAACTGTTCTGTTTTCTTGTGAAAATTGTTGCAAAGAGATATAATTTAACTTGATTAACACCAGAGCCAGGCGCTCTGCACCGTTATCTCCGTGACTGTGAATGAGGGAAAAACAAATTGATCGGATCCTGCACGTCTTTTAACAAATTGGTCAGGATTGACGCACTTTGTTTTCATTTAGTTTTTAACCCTTTAACGCTGATGCGTCACCAGGGTCATCGGTGACGCCTCGGCGCATGTTATGTTTATGTTTATGTTTATGTGCTTAGCAGACGCTTTTACCCAAAGCGACTTACAATTTTTTTTTTTTTTTGTGTGATTTCAAATAACTCCTCGCTACTTAAACTATACAATTCTTAAAAAAAACATAAAGGAGCTACTGTGTGGTGCTTAAAGGATTAATGAAATCAAGGTCATTTCATATTCATATTCTATTCTCCTCTGTAATCAGGCAGTGATCGAGATCGCTTTTCTAAGAGAGACCTGATCGGAGAAACTGCTCCAAATGTCTGACTTGACTTGCTTTGGTTTTTGTGTCATAAAGACCTTGTTTCAGCTTCTTTTCAACATCAGTTGCCGACTCGATCATATTCATCCCGATCCCGCACTGTTTCTTTTAGCCGACCGTTCCCGCCCGCAGCAAAGTTCACACCGCCCGCCCCCGCAAAATTTGTGTTGGGTCCCGCGGGACCAGGCGGGACCCAATCCTGATGCAGCCCTATAGTGTAGAGGTCCAGCTTGGACCTTTGGAGCCGAAGCTTTCAGAAGCAGCCGCTGCAGCCGACCACCAGTCTTGAGATACTTCCGGGTCACGACAGTTTATCGACATCTAACAAGACCCAAAACGGGTTGTGATGGTTCAGCTTTTATTCTGAAAGGAACCGTTGCAGCAAGTGGGACAGCAACAGATTTTATCCAGCTTGTCGTTGGTTCTTTCGGCTGAAGAGGAGAGTTACGGATTGGCCACTCCGTCAACTTCTCTAGAACGCTTTGAACTGGCGTTAAAGATGATGTGGGCATGGTTTTATACTTTGGATGTTTTGGTTTATGGTCAAATGAAAAGATGACAGATTTACCAAGCATCACCAAATCCACGCCTCCGTCAGATCTGGAAGATTCTGATTGGATCAGTAAAAGCAATGTGTGATGTCTTAACGCTACGTGATATCAGTCCTAGTGGAAACATTTAAAGTCATATTACTTATTATATTCTATAGGATTATAATAAAGTAATTAATATTTTGATTTCACAGATTGGTCACATCTTATTATTGACTAACACTTTGTTTGATTAGCTTATTAAAAATAGAGTTCTTTGATTTATTAAAAGGAGAGAGTCCATTCTTCATTCTTCTCTTGAGCTGGAAAGAAGCAGTTTAGAAGCAAATGCATGAGACCTTGAGGCCATATCTCATGCAGACTAGTTCTGTGTCAGAGGAGAGGGGGGAAATGACTTTTGGTGGCTCCATCTTTTCTCAGAAAACAAATGTGTTGCCATTTCTTACACCTTATTTTAGCCTTGCATAATACAACTCTGATCTTTTTAAAATTCACTTTCTCAACCTAAAGGTATGTCAACAAGGTGATCGTCCAGGACCTTCAGAGTCGAAATGTCTGGCACTTCTTCTGTAACTGCTGGCTGAGTTCTGACCAAGGAGACGGCATGACCAAGAAAACCTTCAACGCAGCAAAAAACAACGAGATTGCCAGCTTCATGTGAGTTATTTACACTAAAACAAACACACACACACACGTCTTAAACAAGAAGCCTCACTGCTTTATCTGTTTCATCTCAGGAACATTTTCCAGAGCAGAACATCAACTGGTTTCAGGGATGAACATATCTGGGTGTCCATTGTGGATCCTCCCTCACGGAGTCCCTTCACACGTGCCCAGAGGGTCTCCTGCTGCATGTGTCTGCTCCTCTGCACCATGGCCATCAACATAGCCTTCTGGAACATTCCTGTGGATGAGAGCTCACCTGTGCTCTTTTCAATAGGTGACTGCAGATTTCTCAGTTGCACATCTTCTATCAGAGAAGAAGGAAAGCTTACTGAATCACTTTACACCACTGCTCAGTTATTTATACAAAAAAATGCACATATGTTTATTTTTGGAGATTTAAGCATCTGAAACATGGCATGTGGAGCTAATTTTTGTATCAATCTCAACTTCCTGTGCTGCAGATGCTCATTTAAGAATTGTTTTAGTCGATTCACGTCAATAACTATGGATTTTTGCACTTGTTTGTTCAGGTTCAATGACGATGAGGTGGCAGGAGTTCATGGTGGGGGTGCAGTGTGGCCTCCTCATGTTCCCAATCAACATCCTCATCATCACCATCTTCCGAAGCATCCGACCTCGGATTGTTTCGAAATCTAAAAACGACGGCTTCACAGAAAATGTCAGACCGCCTGCCATCACCATGCCAACAATTCTGAGAGTGGGTTTGGTTTAGAACTTTTGAATTTGGTGTTGTTGTTAAGACTTAGTTAAACGTGTGTGTGTGTGTGTGTGTGTGTGTGTGTGTGTGTGTGTGTGTGTGTGTGTGTGTGTGTGTGTGTGTGTGTGTGTGTGTGTGAGCGTGTGCGTGTGCGTGTGCGCGTGCGCGTGTGCGTGTGTGTGTGTCTGTGTGTGTAGGAGACTGAGGAGGTGATTTCTCTGGTGAGCATGAGTGAGAGAAATAAGATGCCAGAGCTGCTGAAGCTGGAGTCCGCTGATGACCTTTGCCCTGCTTTGGACAGGTTACACATCTTTATCCAGCATATGCAAGGTATCATCATCTTCTGTAGCCTGTCAGAAAATTATAAAGAAAAAAAATGTAATCTGTTTGTCAAACTTTTGAAGCACAAAGTGGTTTTCATGTTAACGGGACAAGCAACCACATTTTAGATACCCAAGGGAAAAAAATAGACCTTGGTCTTGAGTCAGAAAAGGGTAGAATGCCTTCTCCAGGTGAGGGATCAGGTCCTGTCTCAAGTGGAGGAGTATAAGTACCTGGGGGTCTTGTTCACAAGTGAGGGAAAGATGGAGTACAAGATCAGTAGGACGGTTGTTGCGTCTGCAGTGATGCAGGTTAGGTAGTGACTGAAAGAACGAGACTGTGGAAATAAGCGGCTGAAAGGAGTGTCCTTTAGGTATCCTCCTTGCTGGACGTGCCCGGAAAACCTCGCCAGGGAGGCGTCCAGGATGCTTCCTAACGAGATGCCCGAGCCGCCTCAACTGGCTCTTCTGGATGTGGAGGAGGAGCGGGTCTACTCTGAGCCCCTTCCGGATGACCGAGCTTCTCACCCTATCTCTAAGGGAGAGCCCAGCCACCCTGCAGAGAAACCTCATTTCAGCCGATCTCGTTATTTCTGTCATTACCCAAAGGTCGCGACCATAGGTTGGGGTTGGAACATAGATCAGCCCATAAAGCCTTCCAGCTCAGCTCTCTCTTCACCAGGACAGACCGGTACAGCGCCCGCATCACCGCAGATGCAGCACCAATCCGCCTATCGATCTCACGCTCCATGTTTCCCTCATTTGTTTTTCGCGTGAGTGGAATAAAATCTATTTCCTCCGGTCTGGCATGGGTTAGCTTCAGAGAGGAATGTAAGTGCAACAGAGGTGTGTGTTTACCTGCCACAGGTGAGAATGAGAGCAACAACCACTGGGTCTACTGCAGTAAGTTCCTCCTGGCTGGTCTCTGTCACCTCCTGATGAATTTGGAGAAACTGGATGGAAAAAACTTCCTGAGCCCAGAGGAGTACCACCGGGTTCTTAGCTTGGCCAACCTGCTGGTTCGCAAGACCGAGATGGTCCTCTCCAGCCACCTGGCAAACTGGTGGGACAGCACGCACACGCACGCACACACGCACGCACACACACACACACACACACACACACATTTAGATGTTTTTTTCTCCATTACCTCTCATTCCATCCTTTTTGAGCAGCCCACCTCCCGTGCGGAGGAAGAAGAAGGTGTCTGCAGGCCTCCGGCTGCCCTGGTGGTGCGTGTTCATTGGCTGGTTCTTGCTGCTGTCCATCAGTGGAATATCCACTTACTTCACCCTGCTGTACAGCTTTCAGTACGGCAAAGAGAAGTCTATCAAGTGGGTCATGTCTCTGGGTCTGTCGCTCTTTGAGAGCATTTTTATTCTCCAGCCTCTCAAGGTGGGTGAAATCAGACAACTTCTCTCTGAAAAGTCAGTTTGACTTTAAAGAGCAAGTCACCCCCAAATCAACTTTTTTTTCTGATAAACTGTATAAATGTGTGTCTAATCGTGCTGCAGACACCTGTAGTCAATAGTTTTGTACTTCAGTGCATTTTAGTTCAAATTTTAATTATCTGCCTAAAACTGTCGGTGTTGTGCCGTTGTCAGGTAAAAACTCATCTGCCATCGCTATTGGCTAAGAGGTACACTAGAATGTTAGCTGGTACCATATGATGTCACAATGTCGTTGTGAGCCTGTGTGTGTGTTTTTGTCAGCGGCTCCGCCCTCTCGGTCTGCTAGGCAACAGCATTGTTGCATTTTTCAAACAGGAAGTGGGAGTGGAACAATACTCTGGTAGGGGGTGACTTGCTCTTTAATCTGAGAATTGTCTGCTATTGTTTTTGTCAGCCTGTTGCACAGGTCATAGCATGAATTATTTAGTTTAAGAGCTTCTTTATTTTATATGCAGAGATAATGCAGGTGGCTTGTTTTTGTTCACAGGTGATCGGTGTGGCGGTGGTCTTAGCCCTGCTGATGAAACCTGTGGCTGTGGAGGACACCGAAGAGGCAGAGCAAGCACTGTCAGGTAAGAAAAAAATGAACTTTTATGTTTTTTTTTTTTTTTTTTATTGTGGGACCAAGCTTAGAAAAATTGGCACAAATTACAAATAAAAACTTTCTACCCAGTGTGGATGGTTTCCTGAATGATCTCTGGAGAAAAGACATTTTCTAACTGCGTTACTTGGTTCATTTTCCAACACAGCAAGAGTTGTTTTACCCTGTTTTGGCTGGCGTTTCGGCTAACGCTGTAGCCTTCCTGTCAGCGTCAACAGCGACGAGCTCTGAGGAGGGCTACGGCGTTAGCCAAAACGTCAGCTAAAACACGGTAAAACAACTCTTGCTGTGTTGGAAAATGAACCAAGTAATGCAGTTAGAAAAAACAGTACACAGAACGAACGTACAAAAGATGTTTAAATAACATTTACATCCAACAGGACAGATGAGCTAACGGCTAGTCTGGAAGAAGCCTAGACTGAAATGTGTCGTTGCCCTCTGAAAACAGCTCCATCATTAATGGTGTCCTATACTGTTATTTACATAGATTCATATGGTTACCGTAAATCCTCTAATACAGGCCGGTATTCAATTAAAGGCCGGGTCTCCAATTTTGGCCAGTGTTGGAGTCGGCGGCGGTGAATAATGGCCGGCTTTCAATTGTGGCCGGGTGGAATGTGGTAACAAGCAAGTACAGGGGCGGTTGTGTCATCCGTCTCACTTTTGATTTGCCAGTGATAGACCGCGAGGGTAACTTTAACCGTGCGGAGACGAAGAGGAGGCGAAAATTTGATATCAAGTTCAAAGAGAACGTGCTGATTATGCTGCAGAACACTGGGGAGCAGTAGCAGGGGTTGTATGAACTAGTCGACTTCACTATAGTGACTTTTTATGCCTGTCATCGACTAGTCGCTGTCACGTGATAATGACCGGCAAGATGTAGTCCACGGAAAAGACAGCAGCCTGCTGTCAGCAGGTGACAAGCTCCTGCGCTCGGGGGGGGGGGGGGGGGGGGGGGGGGGGGCAACGCACTGTGCCAGACCGTAGGTACTGACACGCGATCGTTCATGTCGGCTCATTTCCTTTAATGTTTTCTGTTTTTTATTTGCACCTGATGTGTTTCGTTGCTGTGGAGCGGGGCGCATCACCTTGTCCTCCGACGCACCGATCACTGATGCGGCCGCCAAGCAGGGAGCGCTCCGCTGTTAATGCAGTCTGTAGATCTGCCTCCTGAGCACGGCCACAGTTACAATCAGGTGTCGCCACCTCAAAAAATTATTTAACACGCGATCGTTCATGTCGGTTCATTTCCTTTGATGTTTTCTGTCTTTTACTTGCGCCTGATGCGTTTCGCTGTGGAGCGGGGCGCATCAACTTGTCATCCGGTGACGCACCGATCACTGATGCAGCCGCCAAGCAGGGAGCACTCCGCTGTTTTTGCGGTCGGTAGATCTTTTAGAACTGCAGTTCAAAGGTAACTCATAAGGTGAATATATATAAACCCAGGTAGCAGTTTTTCTTTAGGATTGAGAGGAGATGCAGGAAGATAATAAACAGGCAGGACAGAAAAATGGTCAAATAAAAACAAGTTAGTTTTTGTACCTGGTGGTTGCAACAAACAGACACCATTGAAGGTAATCAGAAGTGAGGAACAGAAAATGAAATAATTATTTTAATGTTTAGAGCAGCAGGAACTCCGAGAAGCTGCAGGCGCATCAGTGAGTTTGTGGCCGCTGCGCAGTGGGATGGGGGAGAGGGCTGAAGCAGAAACTACCGTTGTTAAAAAAAATGTGTTTAACTTTGAAAATGTGGGCGCAATTTTAATTGTCAAAAACTCCAGCGAACCATTAGTTCATTTTGCTCAAATAGAAATAGAGGCCTGCCTCTAATTCTGGCCCTCCTTCCAATAAAGGCCTGGAGCTTGATGAGCTTGAGTCAAATACAGGCCCGGGCCTGTATTAGAGGATTTACGGTAGTTATAAGCTGCAATATCAGCAGAAGCTGCCAAATTTGGCATTTTTACAACCAGGAGAAGAAATTTCTTCATGTTTCTGCCAAAAGAAAAAAAGTGTGATGCCAAAGACCAAAGGCTAGTGTCTTCTAAAGTTCAAAACAATCCATGAATTTTTGAAACCGTTTTAAAATGGCAGCAAAATGTACTCGGACTCATTAGTAGCTCATCAGTCCTAAAAGATGTAATATCTATTTCTCTCAACAAAGGCTGTTCACTAGATTTACACAGAAAATCACAAAAATATTTTCTAAAATCCTAAACTGGTTAAAAAAAAGAAGACCTGGAGCATGTTGTTAGACTTTTAATCTTTTTTTTTTTACGTCACAAACATAGTTTTAATGAAAAAAATGATAGTTTATGTAACAAAGTCTGGAAAAGGAAGTCTTAGGATGCATTTGAACCCATTTAAGATCGGCTCTAAATTTAATTTTGCTCACAAATTATTTATTCGTGTTTCAAAAGCAGGCGGCGATCTCCTTGACGTTTAATGCCGGGTTGACGGCTGAGAACTCTTACGTAATCACACGACAAAAACTGTGTTGACGGCAGCAATCAGAGACCCTGTTTCCGTTGTCTTCTCTTTCATTGACCCTTCTTTGTCCATCCTAAGGCTTTGTGAGTCTTACTGTTGTGTTCTTTCCATTTTACAGGCCAGCTGGAGAAGTGCAGGAGTTACTCTGGCAGAGGAGCACTGTGAGGATGCAGCGTCTAAAAATGGACAAACCATCTTCTCTTCATCGTCCTGAACGCTAGATATAAATATCAAACTACATGATATATTGTAATGTTTGTACAGATACTATTCTTTAGTGCTGAGACAGGAAATAACTAGTCTGATGTAAACATGTTGATTATGGTGTTTTATTTTAGCAGCTGCTGATTTGTTGATACATTTGTAGAAATATGACTCAATAACAGATTCAAAAGGCTCATGATGAGCTTTAAGATTGATCCAAAACTTTTAGCATCTGGTCCAAAACAAAATTAATGTCAGTAAAATTTACACAAACCTCAAACAATAACAAGTCTTGACCATCGGGATCTAAAGTCCTCATGGGGATCTTTAGATTACTGCAATTAATCAGAATAAATTCATTTCTGACAGCTCACTTTAGCAATAGTTGCTACAACAGATATAAAATGTTATTCATAAAGAGAAATAATATGAAAGCTGTTTAGTTGATTGTTAGGCTGCGCAGTGAAGGTAAATCTGGGATCTTTCTGCATGGAGTTTGCATGTTCTCCCTGTGCATGCGTGGGTTCTCTCCGGGTACTCCGGCTTCCTCCCACAGTCCAAAAACATGACTGTTAGGTTGATTGGTCTGTCTAAATTGTCCTTAGGTGTGTGTGTGTGTGTGTGTGTGTGTGTGTGTGTGTGTGTGTGTGTGTGTGTGTGTGTGTGTGTGTGTGTGTGTGTGTGTGTGTGTGTGTGTGTGTGTGTGTGTGTGTGTGTGTGTGTGTGTGTGTGTGTGTGTGTGTGTACATCATTGTTTGTCCTGTGTGTCTCTGTGTTGCCCTGCGATGGACTGGCTCTCTGTCCTGGGTGTACCCCACCTGATTGACCGTTGACCGCTGGAGATAGGCACCAGCCCCCTGTGACCCTGCATGGACAAGCGGGTTGAGACGATGGACGGTTAATTGTTAAGGTTCTTTATTATTTGAGGTTATTTGTTTTAGTCATTTTTTTACTTAAAAGAGCAAGCCACCCCCAAATCAACTTTTTATTTCTGATAAACTGTATAAATGTGTGTCTAATCGTGCTGCAGACACCTGTAATCAATAGTTTTGCACTTTGTGCATTTTAGTTAAAATTTTTAATTTTCTGCCTAAAACTGTCAGTGTTGTGCCGTTGTCAGGTAAAAACTCTGCACTGCATTTGAATTTAAATCTGCCATCGCTATTGGCTAAGAGGTACCCTAGAACGTTAGCTGGTACCATATGATGTCACAATGTCGTTGTGAGCCTGTGTGTGTGTGTTTGTTAGAGGCTCCGCCCTCTAGGTCTGCTAGGCAACAGCATTTGTTGCATTTTTCAAACAGGAAGTGGGAGTGGAGTACTACTCTGGTAGGGAGTGACTTGCTCTTTAACTAACATAAAATCAAATTGTTGAAATGCTGAATTCTTCTTGTTCCTGTATAAAAATCTCATTGGTGCAAACGTAGTTGCAGCAACTTGTTCGAATAGCATGTCCGGGTGCGTGGCGGTTCTGATGAGTGCACTTATATAATCGCACATATGGGAACTGATGGTTAATTAATCACATTTTACCTCCTTTTGTGTCATAGAAGCTAAAAGTGGATGTCACGTCTTTTCAACATTTATGAGTTTTTCTGTCAGATCTGGTCTCCTTTTGAATCATTTATGCACCAGAACTGATTACATCCATGCTGTTGCTTTTAGTTTGGGGAATACACCAGTTCTGCAGACTTTTCCTGGCTCCTGTGATTTTATTTTATTTATAAATGACCTAATTATGTGTTGGTTTCATTTATCAGGACTGCATGTTCCAATATTCTTGAATTTAGTTTAGAAATAGAGAAACATGCACAAGTGATCTAATTCTAATTTGACATTTAATTATAGAACATGATCAAATAATCTCACCCTCTTCATTATCCAGACCAGGAAAGAGAGGGGATAATATAATGGAAGATAAAATTAAATTAATGTAATAATAATGTAAGATAATATCATTACAATATTATTCAAGCATCTACACACACACACACACACACACACACACACACACACACACACACACACACACACACACACACACACACAGAATAGAACTAGTTTTTAGAATCAGATTACAAATAGCAACAAAAGTCTCTTCTTAACCAGTAGTGATGGGAATTCCGGCTCTTTTTAGAGAGCCGGTTCTTTTCGCTCAGCTCACCAAAAAGAGCCGGCTCTTTCGGCTCCCAAGTGGCTCCTCAGATTTTCTGTTGCGTAGAGTACATATATAACCAAAATAATGCAAAACTATATGTAAAATGATTTACTAATGTAAAAAATGCAATATATCAAATATTTATCATGTCTGTGGATTTAATAACTGAACACTTTAAGAAACCTTCACTTTCCGACTGCTGGCGCTCATTTTCTCACCGTCTTCGTCGCACTCTCCTCTCTCTCGCTCGCCTTTTTCCTCCTCCTCATTCCCTCTCGTCTCCCTCCACCCGCATGTGCTCTGCTGTGTGTCTGAGTCTGATCCTCCCTCTTCCCCGCCCCTACTGCTCTGTGTGTGGACAGTCTGGACACGCAGTTACACATGTTGACCAATCGCCTGTAGCTTTCACCAAGGCAAGAGGGGAGGGGGGAGGGGACGGCTCCCAATGACGAACTGGCTCCCGTCGTTCACTTCAAAGAGCCGGCTCTTAGAACTGGTTCGTTCGTGACCGACACATCACTATTAACCAGTACTTTGAACAAGACAAACACAACGGTGTCACTATTACTGACCAAAAAATGCAAACAAAAATAGGATTTCTACATTTGTTCAGTTGTTTTTTTAATTTTTTTTATTTGATGACAAATTTAATCATGAGAGAATAATGAAGTCAAAGTCGTCTTTATATTTGTACAATTTGATTAACTGGCTGCAAAAATATTTGCCGTGTGTTAACACACACACACACACACACACACAGGTGTTTGATGACATGGCTGCTTCCTATCATTAGAATGCAACAATTCAGGTTATTTTAAAGTAATTTTATTCAAATAAATATTGATGCAGCATCATGTTTCACATTTTTTAGCTGGTTACGTCAGTCTGAATCATTTATTATGCCCTGAAGACTTTAAAGAGCAAGTCACCCACCCCCAAATCAACTTTTTTTCTGATAAACTATATAAATGTGTGTCTAATCGTGCTGCAGACACGTGTAGTCAGTAGTTTAGCACTTTAGTGCATTTTAGTTCAAATTTAAAATTTTTTGCCTAAAACTGTCAGTGTTGTGCCGTTGTCAGGTAAAATCTCTGCACTGCATTTGAATTTAAATCTGCCGTCGCTATTGGCTAAGAGGTACCCTAGAACCTAGCTGGTACCATATGATGTCAGAGTGTCGTTGTGAGCCTGTGTGTGTGTGTATTTGTTAGCGGCTCCGCCCTCTCGGTCTGCTAGGCAACAGCATTTGTTGTATCTTTCAAACAAGAAGTGGCAGTGGAGTAATCCTCTGGTAGGGGGTGACTTGCTCTTTAAAAGGGCATAATAAATGACCAGTTCATCCCTAGCAAAGCCTTTTTGTCCCTTACAGTGAACTTAAAACAACAGTTTAGGAAGTCCTACTGAATGGCATTTTTTCTTCATCTAAATTTGGACGTACTGATGGAAAACACAAAGACGCAGAGAGCTGCATACGACTAATCCAGAAACCATTACGGTCAATAAAGTCGTCTTCCACATAGTTGTAGAACACCAAACACATGAAATAATGGACCAAAACTAAAACATGTACTTCTGATGAATAATTCAGAAACTTTCCTTATTCTTGCAGGTTTTGTAATCCTCACCTGACGCGACGGTCACAAGTAGGACACAGAAAAAACAACAGAGCAGCCTCTGCTGTTTGGAGCGGAAAGTTCATTTCCTTTGCAAATTTTGTCCTTTCAGATGAATAATCTCTGTACTGCCTGAGAGGAACCTGGTTAATCTGGCTTTGGCCTTTACTTCCAGTTCATACTGAATCAGCTCGCTTTAGTTTAAGTATCTGAGCTGCAGATAATTCACTTCACTGATGTTTTCTCCACACGCAACATCAAAAATATCTTAACATTATAGAGCAACATTTTGTTTCTGGAGCTCACAAACAAACAAAATCAAATCTGTTTTATGTTAAAAGCTTAGAATTAAACACCAAACTTGTTCTAATTACAGATAATTAGCACCAGGGACTTCATTCAGATGTTGACAATGTTATTTTAATTACAGCATGTTTGCTTATCTTTAAGGACCCCTAGTGGTTCTTCCTACACATTACAACACAAACAAAGAAACAGCAGAGCCGAGATTCCAGTTCCAGTCTTTTATTAGATTTTTCCAGCAAAGACACAATTTAAATACAGAATAACAGAACAGTCCAACATAGAAAAGATAGTGATCAAAGCTCCGTAGTGTTAATAATCTCACTTTGTGTCCTTCAAAACACCTATAATGAAATAATTAATGGTCTATGATCCTGCTGGAAAGCCGATCCTCGTGCTTCCAGAAACTGCAGAGTCATTGTAAATCAAAGCCGCCGTTCATTTGCCATGCAAGCTGAGCAGGGTGTGGTCGGGTTACAGTGACGCGCCATGGCTGCATGACAACTAAACCTTTTGGTTTCTCGTGGGAAACAGTGATGCACCTTTCTGACACAACAGATCTTTGTCCATCCAGAGACCAACTTTTGCTTGTTTAAAAAAAAAAAAAAAAAAAAAAAAGAGCATATAGATTATGAACCGAAACTCGGTCCAGGTAACATGACTCCAGTCTGAGTGTTTCTCTTAGACTGGAAAGGCCTCCGATGAGAGATGGCTAAGGCAGACGCAGTGATGCAGGTACAGAGTAAAACCCCATGCACAGTTAGAGGAAAACACTAAACAATCACCTCTGGAGTGGAGAAAATAACTGGAACTGAGAGGAGTGCTTGGAAAATTACAAATGTCATAAGAAAGCATTTGGAAAAACTGACATTCAAAATTAGGAGAAAAAAAAACTACTTTAGAGACTCCCTGCTGCCAAACCTTTAGCTGTGTAGTTAAATGAGAGTCTTTCCTACCGCAAATATAAAAATAACAGGGATCAGAACTCATTTTTCTTTATCTCATATTAACTTGAGATGAAGCTAGTTAAACGTTAATCTCCTGAAGGACTCGCATATACACACTCCACTTACGCAGACACAGCCTCGACGCCCAACATCAGTAAACGGTGTTTTGAAATGTTCGTTCCGCAGTGATACAACTACTTTACGACGATGCTGCCTCCGTCTGTGATGACAGATTTGGGGGGAAAACACAGCTGAGGGCTCAGGCCTTGCCCTCGGGGGTGAATCCACCATGACGGGGAAACCTGTCAGGCTCGTTTAACTCGTCTGACACAGTGGCAAAGATCTCAGCTGCATCGGTGTGCAAGGTGTAAACATTAGTCCAACCCTAAACCCCAGGAAGCCAACGGTTAAAGTCAAAATCTGCTTATACGGCTCGACACAGAGACTAATGAGAAAAGTTTAAAAAGGGGGCGCGGCACCCATAACTGTGAGTTTATAGAAGAATTACAAAAAAATCTAAATAACCTAAAGAAATGACTTTTTTATTCTCACAGGCTAGGTTTGTAGGCCCAACCCTTCTTCAGTATGTTGGTCAGATATGTATAAATGAGTTAAGAATACACGTGCGTTTAAAATCTGTGTAAAACTACTTTTTTTGCAGAGGAAGGAGAAGAACTACCTAAATAAGACTGAAAAGCTTAAATATATCCTGTTCTGAGCTGTTTAGTTGATGACACAGGCATGTGTGTGTGTGTGTGTGTGTGTGTGTGTGTGTGTGTAGAGAGAGAAAGTTTAGGTCTTCTTTTTCAGCTCCTCGAACCGCCGTGTCAAATCGTCAAAGTCGATGTCGTCTGAGGCGGTGGTGTTTCCGCCTACAGAGGAGGTAGGGAGTGTGTCGGGAACGGAGGGGAGCTCTGGCAGGGCGTTATCGAACACGCGAGGCAAAACACCAGGAGCTGCGGAGGGAAAACAAAACACCGTTCATCAGATCATACGCCTGCGGGGAAGCAGAACTGCAAAAGTCGTTTTACATAAAAACATGTTCACTACAGAACAGAAAAGATTTATCCTATTGTATTTGAAATATTTGTTATTTAAATGCAGATTTTTGCAGAACTCACCGACAGCCTGAGAAGGAATAGAAGGTTTTATATTTAGATCATCAATCTGAAACAAGAAAATAACTTAAAGATCTAATCCTTGTCACTGGGAAACAAAACATGGGTTGTTAGTAATGACAAACACAAGAAAATGCCTCAATAAAAGCAGAAACAGAGACAAACAGGAAGAACAGACTTAAGTGCAGCCGGCTGTTTGAGACCATCACCTTCAAAAGGAAATATTTAGGATGCAGGAGGTGGTTCAGACAAAAACACACGCAGCCATGCGCAGAGCAGCGGATCATCTCAGGGTTAGTTAAGAGTTTGTGCCGTACCTACAGTTACTGTGAGAATATATTTGTACACTGGCGTGATTAAAGTGGAGTTTTCGCTAAAGGCGTCTTTTCTTTTGGGTCATACACGAATCGCCGTCGCATTCAGAGACTCTTGGTTGGCTTGCTCAAGTTTTACCGGTGAGCTCTGAGAGGGAGCATTTCTGTTTCAGAAACGGTAAAACCGTTGTTGTTTTGGCTGCAACGTTCTTTCTTCTGGGCTCCATTTAAGTTCTGCGATCCTTTTATTTGTGTTACATTGATGTTTATTTGTTTATCAGGGTATCTGCAGGTTTAAGGGAGCCAAATTTAAGACTTTTTAAGACCTTTTTTAAGGCCACTTAGACCAAATTTAAGCTTTTTTTCCAATTAAATTTAAGCTATAATTTCCAGCTATTGCCTGAAAATGGTGCTAACCACGTCACAAATGTGGGATTAGCCATCTAGTTACCATTAAACTTGCACTTCCCCATGGTGCAAGCTCCCACTAGCTTAACCAGCTAATGTGCTCATCTAAAAATAGCCCCCTTTCACAACCAACTGAATGTGTACGGTTCCGCTTACGCCAACATCATACACAAAAAATGCTGAACACTAACTAGAAATTCACAAAAAATTTATAGAAATAAAATAATCTTGTTTATTGGGTCTTTGGTAATTTAAGACCTTGGAAACTGTATTTAAGGATTATTTGTCAATTTTAAGGATTTTTAAGGCCTTACATTTGGAAAAGCAAATTTAAGACTTTTTAAGGACCCGCGATACCCTGTTTATGCATTACACGTCTATCCACTGAAGTCAGTTTTAATTTGACTGGAAGATAAAATGTCTCAACCATCCACTGCTGTGCATAATGTTCATGCCAAGTCTCTTTTGGTATTTTTGTTACTTAATAATGACTCACAGCAAATACTTAAATATCCAAAAAAAGAATTAAACTAACATTTTTATGAGTGCAATTAGGAGAAAATAAATAAATCTCCCTGATCTGTGTAGAAAACAGGCTTTTAAAACAACTCTCCAACTGCTTTAGATCATAGAAAAGAGGATTAACTATCCGTAATATTTAATCATTCTTCCTTTCGGAGTGCAAGTATTGTTAACTTGAGCCCAAGAGTCTGCAGTTCAATCCATAACTTTAACCTGAATATATTTTGGTGGGCAGTGAAGCTGATCTAAGATTGTGCCAGTCTCCAAATATAAACATGCCTCTTTAATTCATCTGGACAAAGCAGGCGCTTTCTGAGGGTTTGGAAAAGTATGGAAGGCAAAGCAAGCCGAACAAACTGTCCTTCCCTGAGTGATGCCCTGTCCGTCTGTCTGTCTGTCCTCCTGTTGGGACAGTAAGGGGGTGGGGCATGGGGACGTGAAGGACTCAGTCACTTACAGACTCGTAGGTAGGGGGAGAAGTGGGCAGCTGGGGGGGCTGCCCTCCTCCCATGTGATGCTGGAAGTTGTCGTAGGTCCCAACGGGAGGGTTAAAGGGCTCCTGAAGGAAAAGCAGGTTTAACAGAGGTGTGAATGAACTTTTACTGACACCACAGAGAAAATGTATAATTCAAATCATTTGAAGGGTGTTTAGGTGGGAAAAGTTTCCACTTTTACAGGATCGCCGCTTCAAATGATCTAACCTTTGCCTTTAAAGAGCAAGTCACCCCCAAATCAACTTTTTTTCTGATAAACTATATAAATGTGTGTCTAATCGTGCTGCAGACACCTGTAGTCAATAGTTTTGCACTTTAGTACATTTTAGTTAAAATTTTAATTTTCTGCCTAAAACTGTCAGTGTTGTGCCGTTGTCAGGTAAAAACTCTGCACTGCATTTGAATTTAAATCTGCCGTCGCTATTGGCTAAGAGGTACCCTAGAACGTTAGCTGGTACCATATGATGTCACAATGTCGTTTTGAGCCTCTGTGTGTGTGTGCATTTGTTAGCGGCTCTACCCTCTCGGTCTGCTAGGCAACAGCATTTGTTGCATTTTTCAAACAGGAAGTGGGAGCGGAGTAATACTCTGGTAGGGGGGTGACTTGCTCTTTAAAGGTTGCAACGCACAGCGATGGCATATTAAATATTACACTAATTGTTAGATGTGCACTTCATGAAGAAAAATGTCACATTTAAGCTTTTTAAAAAACAATTCCACTTAGTTGTGATAAAAAACAAAACCTGCTCACCTCAATTATGATGTACTGGTAACACGGGGCAACAGTGGATATAATAAACGGGATAAAAGGCAAAACTATCTTCGTGAGACTGAGACTTCTGCTGAAGTTGTCAAAAGCCAGGCAACAAGATTTTTTTTGTTTTTAATGAGTTATTTTAAAAAGCACCACTAAACATTGTACCTTTGTAAAAAACACAGTTAATGTCTTTGGTGTGTTCTTGCTGTGTTGAAATTCTAATTCTATCTTTTAGTTCTTTTTAAAACACAGAAAGGTTTTATTTACCTGCAATGTTTCGTTTGCGGCTGCAAACTTCGTCAGCGTCAGCCTGACGAAGTTTGCAGCCGCAAACGAACTAAAAGATGGAATTAACACAATTAATGGTCGATTCAAACAGGTGGGAGTGAGTGCATCAGTGGGATTAGATATATCTATAATTTCTGTAGTATCTCGGGTGCTCTTCAAGATCATAAATACTTCAAAAGTAGATATGGAAGAAAAAAGTCGTGATCTGAGGCACTCCAAAAAATAATTGATTATAATATAAGCTGACGCGTTTCGGTTGCATGCGACCTTCTTCAGGGCATCCAATTAATGATCGACTTGATCAAAAACTCATTTTCCTCTAGTTCTACACTCAAAAATATTTTTCTTTCAGCAATAAGAGAGGGAAAGATTCTCTTACAGCTCCTTTGGGAGGTGGATAGCTGAAAGGTGCAGGCATATGCAGGGGCATGGGCATGGGCATATGCATGGGCATGGCTGCAACAGGAGGAGCACTGAAACCACCACCTCCTCCTCTTCCATTCCTTCTGTCAGCATCAACATCAATCAGGTCTGCCTCCTCTCCAGGACACACCTCAGGCTGTGAGAAGGTTGGAGGGGATGATGATCAAACAAAATGCATGACATCATCCCTCACATGAAGTAAAATGGAATCCTAAAACTTACCCGGACCATGGCGTCAGGTTCATATGGCACATTGTAGTTCTTGGCGATCTCTATCAGGTAACGCTCGACTAAAATTTTGGGAGGAGCCTCCACGCTGAGTTTGTGCATCAGCTGTACAGAAAAAAAAAAGATATCTGAACAGATGGCACCACAAGATTCAACAAAGGGTGCATGCATTGGGCAGTCACTGGAAAATTTTGCCTACCCTGTCGTTGACTGTTCCAATCTGGTTTGTCCTGCATAGCTTCCCGTACTCCTTGCTATATTTTGCACATAACTGGTCAGACACCTAAACACACACATCTTTCAGAATTGGTCTAACAAGACTAAATGGACCTTATTTGTTTGTTAATCTTAGCAGTTCTGCCATCTCTATTATATTGAAGTGGAACTTACAGTTTTCAACTCTGTGACCTCCGACTGGAGACGAGGCGCTGCCCAGATGAGCGTGGACACTGCTTCCTGTAAGCCTGGATCCAGTTCCCTAACAGGTGAAGGACAAAAAGGTGAGGATGGTGATAGGACACAGCAGATGACACATTTGTCCACTTGTGTTTGTTTCAGTTCTCACTTCATGGACTGAATGAGGCCAAAGCGAGTCAACAGCAAGTCACAGTAAAGCTCGAGGATCTCCATGGCTTCAACCAGATAGTCCTCCCTGATGATGTGCTCAACGCGGATCCGTGCTCGCTCATCTTTCCCCGATGACAGATAATCAGCTATCTCCTTCCTTGCCTTTTGGGCAAGCTCAGCTTCATTGGTGCAGAGGTGTGGAGAGAGATTAAATGTCATTGTTGGAGCAAAAAACAGGAATCAAAAGTTGTAACGATTAAAAACAGGGCTCACTTTTCTTTTTCTCAAGAAGTTTGAGTCGGTTTATGACCAGCCGGAGGTTAACTCTGAGCCTCTCTGCTTTGAATCCTCCTCCCAGCATGATGGCAGGATGTCTGTGGACGGGAGAGGAGGTAAGGACCAGAAACCCACACACGGAAACATCTGATCCACTGAGTCACCTCATCATGTGAGCTGGACCAACCCATCGCAACATAATGACACCACAGATTTACTCCAAACACGCACATAAACACATTAATTAATCACTGACTCGACTGAAACTACGCATGAAATATTCGCCAGGAAAAGTCAGTTAGCTTGACGGCTGCTAACAAGAAACAATGCTACTTTTAGCGTTAACATACTCCGTGTTGTTGTTTCGCACCGTTTATTCAGTCACAACATTACAGATCGATAGTTTTAGAGCGTTCTACCTGTAATACAAACCCTATTAGCTGTTCTTCAGCCGGTTAGTGGTTATCTTCTCTGCTTAGCATCCGAGCACTAGCTAAGCGCTAATCAAAACAAATCATAAACTGGTTCAAACACTCAAGTGGTTTGGAGAATTTGATTATTTTAAAGCCAGCGACCGTAAACGGTGCGACAACGACTCACCGGCAGGTTTCAGTAACTCGTGGACACCAACTTATTTGGTTTTCTGTCTGTTGTTTTGTGGCTCCGTTCACTTCCGTAATATTAACGGGTTAACGTCATGGGGACTTTACACGGTGTGGGCGGGGCCTTTGAGTCCATTCCGGTCCATTCACGCGCCGGTGTGACCGTGCACGATGTGAAGCGCGTTCATCCGCGAGCCGCATCACCAAGCGGAAAGTGAATGCGTCAAGCATAAACCAAGCTTAAATGTGTCTGGGTGAGACCTCGTGTGACCCTTAAAATAAAAAAGAAAGAAAAAATAATTTTACAAATAAGAAACAACGGTTAGAATAAAAAAAAGTATTTTTTGGACATAAGCGTCCAGGGAGCTGTTAACACTATTGTAATTTTTGACTGGTGTAAATACAACTTCTTATTTTAGTTTGTACATAATTTCCTGGCATGAATGTGTCCTTCCGTTTTCCACACTAATTACATTTATATATGGAAGAGATGGCAACATATTATCTTCTGGCCTAACATAGTGAAAATATGATCTATCTTATTCATCTTTTACCAGATTCCAGTCAAGCACAGCTCTCAATTTTTGAGATATTTTTCCATATTTTCTTTTAGATGCATATTCTATATTACTGTCTTACACTGTTTATAATGTAAATAAATAAATAAACTTTTCATCCATCAATCAATCATTTTTCGGCCGCTTATCCGGGGTCGGGTCGCGGGGGCAGTAGCCTAAGCAGAGAGGTCTTCAAAGTATACTGCCCACCGATCCACAATGTCCCGAGATGAGGTCAGAAGCACTCCGTCCCCACAATCAACAGTGTTGGTAGAGCATTGCTTTCCCCCTCGTGGGTGCCAGATGGTGGACCAGAATCTCCCCAAACCCTATTCAACTCTTGTTCCATGGTTTCACTGACCTTTTCCCATGCCCGGGTTTTTGCCTCTATGACCACCCAGGCCACAAATGGCTGCCGGTACCCATTAGCTGCCTCTGGAGTCCCATAGGCCAAAAAGACCCTATAGGACTTACTGCCCATGCTGTAATTATCCACTAGGAGGCTCCTACCCAGGGGCGTGTCCAGGGAGTGGCCTGGGGTAGCACATGCCACCCTTGGAATCTGATTGGCCACCCCCAGGTGCCACCACACTAATTTACCTTTAAATAGGCTTTGCATTGTCTAAAAAAGGCTTGAGGATAAAACAAAAAAGCATAACCATTGGTGCCACCCATGCACAAAGTTGTGCCTCACATGGGCCACCCCATTTTAATAGATCTAGACACGCCACTGCTCCTACCTATCTGCTTTAAGTCAGATGGCCACTTTTTTTGGGCCAGGAAGTGTACTCCACCACATGATTTTCTCTTGATAAAGAACCTGATTCTTTTTCTGCATTTTCTGTTCTGGTGTTGCCCAGAAACAAGGGTGACTCTAGTCTACAGTATGTCCTTTTTTCTATTTCAAGTCAAGAAAACTTAAATCTAACGGTTTGAAAATGAGACCAAAGCAGTCCTGCTAAGTCCATGTTTTATTTTTTTAAATGTACCATCTCCTCTGCTCCCTAAAAATGTTCATATCAGTTCATGCAAAAGTCCTTACTACATTAATAATCCGACAGAAATATTCAGATATTAAAAGTGCATTCAGAGAATCATCCCCAGAATGCACTTTTATTATCTAGCAGAAAGCAAGATCTCACAGTTTGAAAATAAAACTAGACATCTATGTAAATAAATAAGCTTTCCAAAGTTTTTACCTTATGGAAGAGCAAGAAATACCATTATCATGTTTTATTCCTGATTACTGGGATTGGTGGTTTTCTATTAACCAAATAAAAAGCAAACAAATATGTGGACTTGATTTAATTATAATAAAAGTAGAAACATTTTACTCTGATCTTCAGATTACAGTAAAAAAGCATCTGTACAATGAAACAGTCAGTCGTTACAACTTGAGTTTGCTGGCAGAAACGTCCTTTTGTTTCTTCTTGGACGCCGTGTCTTTTGCACCCTTGATCTGGCTCTTGACTTGGTCCTGCAGCTGAGAGAAGAAGGCTTGAGAGGACTTCAGAGCCTTGTCTTTTCCCTCATCCTGAAACAAAACAAATGAATCATCTGTTAGATGATTGCACCGAGTTACCGTAGCATTTGTAGTGGTTTTCTGAGGAAACCTAAAAACTTTTACTTCAGAACAGATACAGGCAAAGCCCACTAGTCATCGTCACACATTGGTGAAATTACATCTCTGCAATTTATGGGGAGCAGTGAGCTGCAGCTGTGGCTGCGCTCGGGAACTATTTGGTGGTTTAAGCCCCAATCCAGCCCCTTAAAGCTGAGCGTCAAGCATGGAGGCATTGGATCCCGTTTTTTAAGTATTTGATACGACCCGACCGGGGCTTGAACCCAGATCTCCCAGTCCCAGAGCGGACACTCTACCACTAGGCCACTGAGAGGATACTTTGATGTGACTCAAACTAATCTCCACCTTGAGTATCACGGCTTTGCCTCCTTTTGTGAGTTTCTTTAGGTTTTCCGTGACCTCAGCCTTCGAGAGCTTTCTGTTCTCCCCGGCTTTGCTGGCTTCTTTAAGCTTCTGTCTCTTTTCCTTCTCCTTGATCTTCAGACGCTTCACTTTCTTCTTCTGACGTCTGTCGCGTTTCTTGTCAGTGGACGTCTTCTCGGTGTCGCCCAATAAATCTCCTGCTTTATTCTTCTCCTATGTTTAAAAGAAGCCTCTCGTTAGAAAGACCGTAAACCAAAACTGCCATAAATGTTCGTGTAAGGATGGACTAACCTTGACTTCTTCTGGGGCGAGCAGCGTAGCGTCACTCGTGCTGACTGGAGCCACTTCCTCCATCGTAACAGACGGTAAGTTAGAGACCACCTTGACCTCAGGAACAGGCTGTTCACAAACAGTCAGATCATTTACAACAGACTCCAGGGGATGATGGCATGCTTAACTTAATCAAATCCAAATGGATTTTTCAGGGAAAACTCACCGGTTTTGGTGTGAAGTGGAAGTTTGAGAGAGCGTCCAGCTTGACGAAAAGCTGATCCATAAGTTTTTGGATTTCTACGTGAGTCGGGTTCTCCTCCACCTCAGTCTTTTGCTGGAATGAGGAAAAATAAAACGATAGGGATGCTTTAAAAATGGTGCCTATTTGATAAACATAAAGCTTACTTCCCACTGGAGGCATCAGCGGCGCGGAACGGCAGCGGACCGTCGCTACTTCAAATAGAACCCATTATTGTCTACGGGGGGTTCCAAACCGGCCGCAGAACAGACATTTTCAGGTGTGTCCCAGAAGCAGCGCACCGCTAAAATTTGGATAACATTCTAGACAGAAAATTACACACAGTTTCAGAGTAAAGCATCCGGTAAATTTCAAAATAAAAGACTATTGCAGCAATGTGATTTTTAATGCGGTGTTTTTCATGGCTTTAATCTTGCCAGTGGAGAGGAACATCATTTATGACATCAACAACTATATCAAATGCAACTTCCTTCTCCCTATTCTCTTGGTTTAATGGCAGGTGGCATAAACAAAACGACCTTTGAAGTCTCGAGGGATTTTGTGATTTTGCAAGTCTGGCGAAGAGGACTGCAGAGAATTCGCTCGGCTTTCCCAGTTTGGACTGAAGCACGCGAGTAAACCATTCAACACCACTGATGCCACTGGTGTAGAGAACCACCTAAAAGTAAAACCTGAGTCTGCTTGATGTATTCTTGCTCGTAGATTTCAGCGAGACTCTGTTTGCTCTTCTCCTGGTCCAGAGTTAACCTCTTCTTGTACTCAAACACCTCCTCTTTGGGTTTTTCTTTGCGAACCACATCATCAAATGCCTTAAAATGACAGAAAGGGGAAACATATATTTATTTTACATTAGAAAACATTCCCATCCATCTATTTTCAGTTGCTTATTCGGAGTCGGGTCGTGGGGGCAGCAGCCGATAGGCCTATTCTTTCCTCTGCCCAGCCACTTGGGCCAGCTCCTCTAGGGAATCCCAAGGCGTTTCCTGACCAGCCGAGACACATAGTCCCTCCAGCGTGTCCTGGGTCTTCCTTTAGGCCTCCTCCCGGTTGGACGTGTCCGGAAAACGTCACCAGGGAGGTGTCCAGGAGGCATCCTGACCAGATGCCTGAGCCACCTCTACTGGCTCCTCTCAATGTGGAGGAGCAGCGGGTCTACTCCGAGCCCCTCCCGAATGACCGAGCTTCTCACCCTATCTCTAAGGGAGAGCCCAGACACCCTGCGGAGAAAACTCATTTCGGCCGCTTGTATCCGTGATCTCGATCTTTCGGTCACTACCTAAAGCTCGTGGCCATAGGTGAGGGTAGGAACGTAGATCGACCGGTAAATCGAGAGCTTTGCCTTCTGACTGACTCAGCTCTCTCTTCACCACGACAGACCGGTACAACGCCCGCATCACTGCAGACGCAGCACCAATCCGCCTATCGATCTCACGCTCCAGCTTTCCCTCACTCGTGAACAAGACCCCGAGATACTCCTCCACTTGGGGGCAGGACCTCATCCCTGACCTGCAGAAGGCATCCCACCCTTTTCTGATTCAAAATAAAATATGATACTGTAAAAATTTATCCTTTTCAAACTACATTTAACTCAAGTTACCTGGTCTTTAATTCTCTGTTTGATGATGTCTTCCAGCTGTAGTGTGGTTTCCTCAGTGATGGCGGGAGCTAAAAAAAGAAAACCTGGTTTCAAACTGACGTTTTTATAATCTGTAAATGTCAAAGTTAAAGCAGCAACATGGAGTTTTCCCAATTTCAGGAATGTGTAGTGATTTGTTAAACATCTGTACGAGTGATAGTTTGATGCCACTCAGCCAATAGAATTAGAGATCCGCTTACATACAGATTTTGGGCTGGACTGAAGAGTTGGCAACATTCTTAACAAACTTTAACTCTCCGTCGAAAGAGACGGAGACCGCAAGCTTGTGATTGGTCAGGACGCTGCTTCCTGTCTTCATTCGTCATCAGCACCGTCTTTGCCGCTTCAACAGTTAAAGAAGTATTTAGCGGCAGACACGGAGCAGATTGAAGAACGCATGGCGGAAAAAGTCTGTGATTATATATATATATATAACCTGTGACCGAAGGAGTACAAAGTACAAAGATATGCAGCAGGCATTTTACTCGTGGACGGAAAAGACGAGAAACGTGGGTTGCGGATCTCACGAGGAGGTGAAGTGGAATGAGGGGCAAATTTGTTTGTGTTAAAAAACGTCTTTGAACTACATTAAAACAATGTAAACAGAAATGCAAATAAACTACGGTGGACCGGATATGTGACAGGATACCTCAGAATGCCGCTACGCCCTCTGCTGTCCTGGCGGGGAATTGTTTAGCAACAATCCCCAGCTGACTAGAAGTCTGAACGTAAAACGTCTGTCAGTGCGTGTGCGTCTCCTCCTCACGGAGCTGACGGAGACGTGTACATTAGGCTTTAGACCCGCTCCCATGTACTTTGGACTAACTTTTGCTGCCTTTTGGCCAGGACTCCCTTGAAAATGAGGTTTTTAATCCCAATGGGACCTTCCTAGTTACATAATGAATAAATAAAATAAATAAATGTTTTGGTTATTTGGTTTGAAGCAGACAATATTTTTCAACAGCTGGACTAGGGTTGTCACGGTGTGAAAATTTAACCCCATGGTTATTGTGACCAAAATTATCACGGTTTTCGGTATTATCGCGGTATTTTTTTAAACGTGTTACATTTTCAGACAACTAAATAAACCCTGTATGTCAGGAAAATATTGCCCTCAGTTTGTGTCTAAATTTTGCCTAAAATGTGTTATTTTGTAATTATGTTGTTTATTTGTTTACATTTTTCCCCTTTAGTCTTTAAAATACCAATATTTGCCCATAACTTCTTATTTTTTGTCTGTTTGATGTCATCATTTTAAAAATATTAGATCAGATGATACTCAGTACTCAAGTAGCCTTCTAATCAGATACTTTTTTACCCTTACCTGAGTAATAAACCCTAAATCAGGAAAATATTGTACTACCTCAGTGCCGCGCTCTCAGTCCACCAGGCGACGCCTCTTTCAGAAGTGTTTTCCTAACATGAAGTGTGGATGAAATAAGTCTCCACCCATGCCTTGTAAGTTTTGGCTTACTTTTAGCACCCCCTAGTGTCCAAAAAGTAGAACCAAAAATTATGTCTCCTTAGCCTTCCTTACTGTCTACAGGAGTGATTCATAACTAAATAAAATGAATCAGCTGTGTTCACGATCTAAAACATGGAGGACAACATGCTGGAAGCAGACTGCAGCCAATGGCATGTCAGCTCCACTTTACTAAGTCCAACAGAGACTGGACCGGCACTCTGAAGTTGCAAGTGTGATTTTTTTTTTTTGGCCACAGAAGGTGGTAGGGGTCTGACATTTCATTAACCCTGTGTTGTTTTAGCACATACCGACTCAAGAAAATGATTTACAATTATGAAAAAGTTGCATAGTTTGGTTTTAAGAAATCCACAGACTCAGAAGCGAACACCGGAAGGTTTGCTCACCCAGTCTCGATGTCTGCTCGAACTCCACGTCCTCCTCCAGCATGCTGTTCTCTGGACGGGACTGTGCCGTCACCTCGCCCGACAACTGCCACGGCTTCTCCGCCAGAGCCGCCTTTTCCAAATCTTGGATTTTCTGAGACATCTACAAGGTGGATTAAAAAAATTCCAGTTGATACCATTTTAAACTCTTGCAGGTAAACTGTGCGTTTTTTGCAACAAAACAGATTGAGAGAGGTTAAGACTGATGTTCGTAAAAGAGGATGAAAATTGAAAGCAAATAAGAAAAGAGAGAGGAGTGAATGCGGGCTCTGGGGGCCTGTCTCCGCCTGGTGGAGGGTTAAGGCCCTGGCAACAGATTCCAACCAGAATCTCACTGGGCTGCATTTGTTAGCGACTGCATGAAAACACCAAATTATGAGAAAACTCTCATATTTCAGAATCACACTGAATTGGTGCACAAGACACACGTCATGTGGGGCAAACAAACTGCGACTGTTGTACAAAATGTCATGTATTTATAGTGATGCACCGAAGTGAAGTTTTTGGGCCAATAATCGATATCCGATATTAATATCACAGTTATGGCCAATAACCGATATACTGACATTAGTGCTTCTAAAATCAGCAGGATGAAAATGATTATAGCTGAATTGACGTTATTACGTACACACACCACACACATTTACGCTTCTGAGATGATTACAATCACTGTCACACGACTGAAACAGATAAACAAACGTAAACAAGATGGGAACAATACCGGTTGTTAATGTTGGCCAGTTTAATTTATCGGAACGATTTATTAAAAAATGACTGACATCGGCCGATACCGATATTGATGCTGATACATCGTGCATCCCTAGTAATTTAGTCAGAAAATGTCTCAATTTGTTTACAAATTCACCTCATTTTATTTGATAAACCCTCCCAAAGTAGTCTCACCATCCTGCAAACTAAAGTGAGAAGCAGCTAAGATGGATTCAACATGGGATCCAGATGCATGCGACGACTCTGGCACGAGAGGGAGTGTTTATCTGGCCGACATGTTTAAAACTCGAGGCGCACAAGAGCGAGGCCCTGCGACTCACAAGAACACCGTGTTTCAACCTCCCTCTGGGATGATGTTCACCGTTTGTCACCGACAGCAGCAGCTCAGAGAGATCCTGCTCCCGTCCAAGGCCCACCTTAAATCATCTGGACAGCTCAGAGGCTACAGGGCCTGAATTCATCAACCGTGTTTACGCACAGGTCTGTGTGCGTTTTGTGCTTAGAAACAATTTCACGCATTGTTTGGTATTCCCTATTTTGTACCTGTGTGTGAAAATATTTCTAAATGTAAGAACAGCTCTGAGCCTGCGTACAAACAGCATCTAGTGGTAGAACAGCAGAACTGCAACACTGAAGGTTTCAGTCATCCATGTTTGTTCCTCATCCAGAAATTATTTTAGCAATAAGTGACTGTGGCTGAAAAACGGCTTCATCACATAACGAATGCTAGCACCTGTGGCCAACAGGAAGCTGACACTGTAGCATGGCTGATCTCGTGTTATTAGAGGATTTGGTAGGGCATTCACTCTGGAGGGGACACGTTTTCCATGAGCGCACTGATCCTGAAGGACATCATTCCTCTTTTGGAGCAAAAAAAAAGCATGGGTCTGATACCGGTCCATATCAGATCGTTGACTACAAAAACCAGAACAAACAGAACCTGCATTCAGCCCCTTGGATATACAGGGAGTGCAGAATTATTAGGCAAATGAGTATTTTGTCCACATCATCTTCTTCATGCATGTTGTCTTACTCCAAGCTGTATAGGCTCGAAAGCCTACTACCAGTTAAGCATATTAGGTGATGTGCATCTCTGTAATGAGAAGGGGTGTGGTCTAATGACATCAACACCTATATCAGGTGTGCATAATTATTAGGCAACTTCCTTTCCTTTGGCAAAATGGGTCAAAAGAAGGACTTGACAGGCTCAGAAAAGTCAAAAATAGTGAGATATCTTGCAGAGGGATGCAGCAGTCGTAAAACTGCAAAGCTTCTGAAGCGTGATCATCGAACAATCAAGCGTTTCATTCAAAATAGTCAACAGGATCGCAAGAAGCGTGTGGACAAACCAAGGTGCAAAATAACTGCCCATGAACTGAGAAAAGTCAAGCGTGCAGCTGCCAAGATGCCACTTGCCACCAGTTTGGCCATTTTTCAGAGCTGCAACATCACTGGAGTGCCCCAAAGCACAAGGTGTGCAATACTCGGAGACATGGCCAAGGTAAGAAAGGCTGAAAGACGACCACCACTGAACAAGACACACAAGCTGAAACATCAAGACTGGGCCAAGAAATATCTCAAGACTGATTTTTCTAAGGTTTTATGGACTGATGAAATGAGAGTGAGTCTTGATGGGCCAGATGGATGGGCCCGTGGCTGGATTGGTAAAGGGCAGTGAGCTCCAGTCCGACTCAGACGCCAGCAAGGTGGAGGTGGAGTACTGGTTTGGGCTGGTATCATCAAAGATGAGTTTGTGGGGCCTTTTCAGGTTGAGGATGGAGTCAAGCTCAACTCCCAGTCCTACTGCCTGTTTCTGGAAGACACCTTCTTCAAGCAGTGGTACAGGAAGAAGTCTGCATCCTTCAAGAAAAACATGATTTTCATGCAGGACAATGCTCCATCACACGCGTCCAAGTACTCCACAGCGTGGCTGGCAAGAAAGGGTATAAAAGAAGAAACACTAATGACATGGCCTCCTTGTTCACCTGATCTGAACCCCATTGAGAACCTGTGGTCCATCATCAAATGTGAGATTTACAAGGAGGGAAAACGGTACACCTCTCTGAACAGTGTCTGGGAGGCTGTGGTTGCTGCTGCACGCAATGTTGATGGTGAACAGATCAAAACACTGACAGAATCCATGGATGGCAGGCTTTTGGGTGTCCTTGCAAAGAAAGGTGGCTATGTTGGTCGCTGATTTGTTTTTGTATTATTTTTGAATGTCAGAAATGTATATTTGGAAATGTGGAGAAGTTATAATGGTTTCACTGGTAAAAATAAATAATTTAAATGGGTATACATTTGTTTTTTTGTTAAGTTGCCTAATAATTATGTACAGTAATAGTCACCTGCACACACAGATATCCCCCTAAAATAGCTAAAACTAAAAACAAATTAAAAACTACTTCCAAAAACATTCAGCTTTGACATTAATGAGTTGTTTGGGTTCATTGAGAACATGGTTGTTGTTCAATAATAAAATTATTCCCCAAAAATACAACTTGCCTAATAATTCTGCACTCCCTGTAAACTGCAAATAACTACATAAAACGAACAGTCCGCTACTCTTGTGTTTTTCATATTTAATTTTAAGTGGAACCAATTTTCTTCATTTCTGACAGGATCCTCTCCTCTGTCCTGACTGCATTTACAACCTCTGCAACTTGTTTGGTTCTATTCTACTTCAGCAGCCAGTGCCGCGATCTTGCTTCCAATAATTTGATTTACAGGGATTCCCCTGGTGAGCTGAGGATGTGCCGTGACCAAATATTGTTAATTAAGGGCGTTTCTGCATGTAAACGACTGAACGGGCACCTGGGAACACACAGGTGGGATCTATCAACAGTTGATTGTGGAGGAAGGTGTGCATGAGTGGTTTGATGAATCAGGATTTTGGATTTTCGTAGGAACATTCTAAATGTCCTTCAGGAATATAGGAGAGTTTCTATGAATGAGGGCCCAGGTGACCTGACCTCTCATCCTGAAGCTTCTGCTGCAAAACAAGCCGTGGAGAAACTTTTACCTTTTCCTGCCGTTTCTCAAAAGATGATTTTAATTCGGATTTTTCTGAACTTGAAGCTTTTCCTCCAAAAATCTCCTCCATGTCCTCCCCCTCACTGCTCTCTTCTCCAGAAAGGTCAAAGGTCACCTTCTTGTGAGCTGCTTTGGAGCGACTTTCTTGCTCATCCCTGAGGAAAACATTTTTTTTAATGAGTTGGAATTCACAGAACAAGCTTCCACCCTCACCACAGCACAAATTAGACCCAGATCGACTCACTCATCGTTGTCCTCTTCATCACGATAATTACCATCTTCTTCTTCTTCCAACTCTTCTTCATCCTCTTCCTCACTCGCATCATCATCTCCATCTGACTGGTCATCAGTCTTAGCTGGTTTGCCCCCCACAGCACCAAAAAAGTCCTTGTACCTGAGATCTCTGGAGCTTTTTACCTGCTGTTAGAAAATAAACATTTATTTGTCTCTTCCATATGATCAGAGCCCAAAGTGATGAGTGATAAAATCATACCGCGTGTTTCTTCGGCTTTTTTGAGGACAATATTTCACCGAGGTCAAAATCGTCATCCTCATCCGAGTGCAGGTCTTGGAAGTAGTCAACATTGTTGTCGCCATCCTCCTCTCTTCCTTCTCGCTTGTCCATTTCATCAAGAAATGACTCCATTTCTGACAGTTTGAAGAACTTATCGTCAACTTCTGAGGGAACCAGTTTTGTTTTGGAGCCTGCCCGTGCACTCGCTTTCTTCTTCTCTCGTTTCTCCAGAGCATCCACATCAAAATCTATATCCGAGTCATCTTCTGAGCCCTGCTCTGACCCTTCTTCAGCTTCCACAGCCTTTTTCTTTTGCATTCTAGGAGGAATTTTAATTACATTTTCATCATTATTCATTTCTTCTTCGCCTTCATCACCACTTTTTTCATCTTCTACCACCTCTTCCTCTGGCAGCAAAGTTAATGCCTCATCTGACAATGCTCCTTCAATAGATTTAGTGAAATATGTCAGCACAGCTTCATTCTGGAGCTCTAGCTCCTGCCAAATCTGCTCCTCGTCAAAGTTGTCCACAATGAGCTGAGCCAGCGGGCTGCCTTTACAATCTGAAGGCTCCTGGGATTTGTGGAGGTCATACAGGGTCTTCGTGATGGAGGTAAATTCTGCTGCAGCACCATCTTGAAGGCTGAAAAGTAGAAAAACAATCAGTGAGACAAACGTGTTGCAGGGAAAGAGGTTCTTTTGAAAATGACCACTGGTTTGAACTCAGCGCAGCTTTCATCTGTGACAGCCAACTATCATACAACATCCATGCTGTTTACCAAAACTCATGATGGTGAAAATGGTTAGAAATTAATCATCAAAGCAAAATTAAATAAGGAAAAAAGGACAAAATCTTGGATATCATGCAAACAACCTTTGTCTGTAAATCATAGTTTTAAATGTTTTAGTTATATTGTATGGCAACATAAGCATTTAGGTCCTTAAACGAGAACAGACACATCCAGATCAAATTAGACCATAAGACTATGTGATCATTTTGAGGCACCACTGTCCAGTTACTTCAGATAATCTAGCAGGTTAATGTTATTTCACGGATGGATTAACCTCTCGTCTCACAATATCTCGAGTTTTATTATTATTATTAGCTTGCTGTACTGTTGGTGTCACTCAGCTACAGCCTTTAGTCAGAGACAGATCATAAAACCAAATAAATCCTAATTTTCGATATTAGCTGTCACCGATTGTGTCAAATCTAATAAAATGACATTTTCTTTCATTTAATTTAATAAAAAAAGTGACTCTAAATCTGAAAGAAAGCCGTTCTCAACTATTTTATTTAAATAAGTTTAACCTAACAGCTCTCTAAAGTATTTGCTAGCATTAGCATTTAGCTTTAGCCGATGATTGGTCAAGTAAATATCTCGTTTAAAAGAATAAAACTTTAGTAAAATAATGCAGAACACTCGCCTTAGAAAGTTTTCTGGTTGTGCCGTGTTAACATTTATCGTTTTGACACAATCCTCCAGTACGGCCCACATTTCTGCACCCGCCATGTTTTCCTACACATGTGTAGCCGAAAGTGTTGCAGGTAAACAGGCCCGACCAGAAACGCGTCCGCCGCTACAGATTGGTTCCTACGTAAAAACAAAATAATAATGAAAATGGCGACGTCGCTGCTGAAGGTTGCAGGTTTGTTTATATCGATAAAAGCTAACTGCTAAAGTCAGGCTTCTCTCCGGTGCATTCTGCCTTGACAAATAAGAGTGTATAGTTGCCAATAGTTGCTCTCCAAATCGTCTCTCTCGACTTAAGCGCAACTCGCGATGTGTTGTGTTTACTTTCTTTTTGCGTTTTCAGGTTAAAAATGAGAAGATACAGTCAAAACTAAATGTTTTTATGAATACATTTCTATAAATATTACATTTCTATAAATATTGTCTGTCTTTCTATCGTAGTGAGTACCCTCAGTGACTTCCATTCATTTATGTGACTCCACTATGCCTAACTCATACCCATACCCTAACCATAACCAATGCTGATCTGTTCCTAACCCTAACCTTAACCAAAACTTAATTCACACCAGACCTCAAAAACCAACTGGTAAGCTTAAAAAAAACGAGGACCAAAACATGTCCTCAATTTGTGGGGAAAATGGTCAAAATGGTCCTCAGTATGTACACACACACACACACACACACACACATACAAGTATCTCAAATTAAAATATCTTAAATTATAAATTGTTTCCTGAATCATGTATGTGACACAGTTTAGTACATTTTTTAAATAAATTCACGTCTGTGGTACAAAAACATTCACCAAAACCGTACGTTTCATATCCCTGGTGCTTCCTGGATTTAAGGAGTTTTGTGTAAATATTAAACATTAAAATGTATCCAGAATATATCCATTTAAAGAAGTGATAGTGGTTTATTCAGTATCTAATGCTGTTTATCTAAACAGCTCAGCTCTTAATTATTTTTACATTATTTTTATTTTATTGTGTTTATTCAGTGGCAGGAATTTCCAGATGTTCTGGCGTTTCCCTCCTGAGGTCACATTCGACGACAGCGCCACTTCCTGGGTCTCTGTGGAAATTGGGGAAGCTGAACCATGTAGCCATTGCCGTCCCTGACATGGAGAAGGCCACGGCCTTGTATCGCGATGTGCTCGGAGCCACGGTGAGCGAAAAGGTGCCTTTGCCTGAGCACGGTGTCTACACGGTGTTCGTGGAGCTGGGCAACACCAAGCTGGAGCTGCTCCATCCTCTGGGGGAGAAGAGCCCCATCTCTGGTTTCTTACAGAAGAACAAGTCCGGAGGGATGCACCATGTCTGTATCGAGGTGAGAGACATCGACGGCGTGAGTCAGAAGACGCAACACATATTTACCCCGCTAATAACATACTGATTTATGCAACTATAATTAAACCACTGACATCTTTCCTGTCACATCAGGAGCAAAACAGTCTGCAGCACGGATACACCTTAGTGGACTAGTCCATAATAGTTCATAAAGGGTTTGTGTGTAATTTTGTGAAATTAAAAGAGGTTAATGACGGGTGATTTTGTGTTGACGCTGTACTTTTCCCACTCAGAGGTTCAATAGGGTAGTAACCCAGTGATTCTAGTTAGATTAATGATTAACTACGTTTTCCGCCTGTTTGCAGGTAGATGACATTAATGCTGCAGTGGCCGATCTGAAAGCAAAGAACATCAGAACTTTGTCAGCGGAGCCGCGAATAGGCGCTCACGGGAAGCCGGTCATGTTTCTCCATCCTAAAGACTGTGACGGGGTGCTGGTGGAGTTAGAAGAAGCGTGAACGTCGGGGACCGAAGACGCCTTCGTGTCCATTTACTCCATCATTACTTAGATGATTGCAGGGATGCGAGTGCTGATTGCTGGTTGTGATGTTCCTGTTTTGTTCTGGCTTAGGTCTAGTGTGATGTGTGACCATTTCTATAAAAGCTCTTGCAAAGCATTGCTTAGGGATTCTTTCGTGGGTGTGTGCTTGCTTTATTGTCTCTTCATTGTCCAGCAACAATCTAGTAACATGGTTTCACACAACAGCATGTTTTACAGCTCATATTTCAAATACGGATAAACAGTACCTTGCACATGTTCCAAGGCATCTTTTATTTATATCGAACACTTCATACAGAGAAGCAATTCAAAATGTTTTCCAGGAGCAAGAACATAAAACAGCAGATTTTAAAATGTAATTTAAAGAGCAAGTCACCCCTAAATCAACTTTTTTTCCTGATAAACTATATAAATGTGTGTCTAATCGTGCTGCAGACACGTGTAGTCAATAGTTTTGCACTTAACTGCATTTTAGTTAATATTTAAATTTTCTGCCTAAAACTCAGTGTTGTGCCGTTGTCAGGTAAAAACTCTGCACTGCATTTGAAATTAAATCTGCCATCGCTATTGGCTTGGGCACATGGCGCGCACACACACACACACACACACACACACACTGATGTGCTGTAAAAGAAAAACAAGTTGTAGAATGCTTCATGTTTAATCTATTCCGGAACAATAAGGATAAGAAAACAATTTCAAATGCAGCCCAAAAGCTTGTTAATATTTACCTCATTCTGTTTTATTTGTGACAGAATGAAAAATGTGAGTTTTTTTCTGGTTAGGGTTGACATCAGGGTTCTCATGTGAAAGTCTAAGCTGTAGACTAAGCTACAAAGGAAGCCTGATCTCTTCTGCGCTTTAATCTGCCTCTTCGTACATCAGGAACATTTTCTCACCTGGCCTCAGTAACTGATGCAGAATAAAATACCAAAGTACATTTAAAGGCTTAAAACAATCAAGATGTCATAAACAAAGGAGGAACCTTGTATACAGAGGCTAAGTCTGTGGCTAAGGCTGTGATCCCGGGTTGTGCTGCAGCATTTTTGAAGGTGTTGACAAAAACAGATCCTAGACTGGTGCCGTAGCCACGTAGAAACAAAAGCCTGTTTATTCACCAGGAGGAATGATTTTAGTGGGTAGAAATTCATCTTTGATATCAGCATTTTCTTTTCTTTGCTCAAAAGAAAGCACATTATGGTGGAACGGTTGTGGTCTTTCTGCAGGGTTGGCATGTTCTCCCCAGGGTGCTCTGGCTTCCTCCCACAGACCAAAACATGCATGTTAGGTTAATGGAGACTCGACATTGTCCCGAAGAAGATATTTATTTCTAGAAAACTTTTCACAGATAAAATCACAAAGTGCTTCACAAAAACGGTAAAAATATAAAAGTGATACATTAAAAACTAATTCTAATAAAAGGTAAAAGAGACGGGGGATGCTTGTCTGAAAAGAAGCTTTTTCAGCTGCATCTTAAATGAACAATTAGTCAGCAAGGCTTTCCACAGTTTTGGGGCCACTCAAATGCCATGTCTCAGGTTCTAAAGCGGGTCGTAGGGACCATGAGAAAGTTCTGGCCCCAGGGCCCGAGCTAGCGACCAGTGTGTGCGTGTGAACCTGATGGACTGGTGACATGCCCAGGGTGTCCCGGCCCCTCGCCTGCTGGGAATGGGAACCAGCCCCCCTCGACCCTACCGAGTTAAAGTCCAGTATTAAACATGTGGATCATAAAGCAAACACTTCCAAAGAGGAAAAATCATTTCTGTGATTTCAGAGCAACTGCAGCTCTCTGTTCTGATGGGGAGAAATGGACTTTTGAAAATGTTGACATTAGCAAAATGAACAAAATGTCAAAATTAATTACAGCTGAATCAAACGGGAGCAAAAATCAAATATTTGTTCACTCAAACCCAAAAGAAAACAGGAAACAGATGATTGCAAAAGCTGCCGACGCATTAACATTTGACTCATTCCCTGTTTGGTTTTATTGGACAACTCAGAAAAGCCCAGCAGACTTTAACCCGCAGACACAAAAAAATACAAATTAACCTCTACAGAAATATGAGGGAAACTTCATGTACACTTATTGTCCTCTCTGCTCTGAAGAAACGCTCAGAGGAATCTTGTCTTTGCAGCATCGTATTTCCTGTGTCAGCAGCCTAAGGCAGACTGTAAACATGGAAATTCCAGAAAGCCGAGTCATGGTTTGGTCAGGTTCTTTTAAATGACGTGAATAAAATCAAACCGGGAAGTAGGAACTGTTTTCATGTGACTCCTAACATCCCGTACATTTGTGTGACACAAGATCAAACCCACAAGTTCTGCATTCATCTGCAACACGAACTCACTGAAACAGCAAAATAACTGACTACTTTAGATATTAAAGTAGCCGCTAGTGCAGTAAATTGAATATTGGATGAAAATAAAAGATGCCACTGCTCCAAAGTATTCAGACACCAGGGATGGAGTTTCAAAAATATTTCTCCAAGATAATTTCATGCAAACCGGAAAAACTGCAGCATTTTGCTTTTTAAGTGAACATGAAGAGGGAGTGGGCAGAGCAGACCACCCTGAAACATAGCGGACGTCACCTCCAGCAGGTTAAGTCAGCAAACTCCAGTTTGTTGGAAACTGGCAGTTTAAAGAGCAAAAACCACTGACATCCCAGTCAGGGTTTCAGGTCAGACTAGGCTCTGTATCAGCGGATCTTTAAGTACCTGGACAGCATTAGACACCTGTAATTTCACTTAAAGCTGGTCATTTTCCAACATGCTGTATATTTTCTGGGCATTGCAAACTTCTGGAAAACTGTAATTATTCACGTTTTAAAATGTCAAGAGGGCGTAACCTGTGCCAAATGACCTCATACAGGTCACCTCAGCATTCATAGGTTTAGATTGTTACAGATTCTAAAAATCAGAAACCTCTCCCTTCACAACCAGGTGTCCAAGGCAGTTTCGATATTCAGTTTCATGGGGAAGTGAAAACATCCGAATAACTCACAGGTGTTTCTGGTTCATTTGGTTTTTATTAGGCATTTCACAAGAATGTAACAAGCAAAGCTAAGAGCTAGTGGAGGGATCTCATGCAACTAAAGGGTTTAAAATGCAGATGACATTAAACTAGTGGCTTAAATGTTAACATGAATGTAGCCCAGCTGTTTGATCCGATTTAGCTGCTCTCGCCACCCAGAGTGTGCTTGTCGAACAGGTATTCAGCCAAGCCGTTCTGAGGTGCTCCCATGCGGCGCAGGTTGGTCACATAATCTCCCAGCTGTTTGATGGACTTCACCTGCTCATCCAGGTAATGAGTCTCGATGAAATCGCACAGCTGAAAGTGGAACAATTCAATTAGACCTCAACATTGCAGCTTAGGTTAAATTAAAGGGCCAGATTCATCGTGTTTCACACTCACATGTGGGTCATTATGAGTAGAGCACAGCTTGTGGCAGTCCAGTAGTGACTGGTTCACACTTCTCTCAAGCTGCAGGGCGCATTCAAGAGCCTCGACACCACTACCCCACTCATCCCTGTCTGGTTTCTAAGACAAAGCAGGTGTTAACACTTAGGACAAGTCAACCTCATAACGTTTTACTACAGTTCAGAGTCTGTCCAGTTAAGATAAGCAGCATATCTAACTCGCGCCCTCATGTTCTTGGACCACCCAGTACCAATAGGATGAGTGCTTATCATAACAAGCAAGTGTCAACATTCCAAAACACTCGTACCTTGACATCTTGCAGAAAGATCCTTCCACCCCTCTTGTTCTGCAGTTTCATGAGCTTCTCCGCATGATCACGCTCCTCATGCGACTGCTCACGGAAGTACTTTGCAAAGTTGGACAATGCAACATCATCCCGATCAAAGTAGTACGACTGGAAAAAGAGTTTACATTAGAGTTTGCATTAGATTAAAAGTTTTGTTTGAAGCCAATATGAACTGTGGTGATGTGACAGAACTGGTTGGAATGACTCAGCTATGTGCCATCATTAAACAAACTTTAAACCCTTGAAAATGCCTCTGCTCTAACCGTATCGCTCCAGTCCAGACCTTTATTCACTTAAACATGTTTATCCAGAAACTTACATGTTTCGAATTAGTGCCCTTCAAAAACACTGATTTTGATTTTCAGCACATAGCGGCTCATAAAGTTCCTCTTTAACCTTTATTTTAAACACCTGTTCCATATTTAGCTTCCTCTACTCACTGAAAACACTTCACCATTCCCCTACTGGACCCTTACCATAGACAGGTAAACGTAGGAGGCATACAGCTCCAGGTTGATCTGCCTGTTGATTGCAGCCTCGCAGTCCTGGTGGAAGTTCTGTCTCACCTGGGAAGTCATAGTTCTGGGAAAGAACATTAAAATTAGGGACCCTGTTCTGAGCTAAATATATAAACTTATTGCATCTGTTAATCACTTGACATGTGCAGAACTTTAAGAAAACGCAAACATAACATAACGTTTAAGCTGTTTTACTTAGTTATTGAGCCATTTGTACTAGACATACGTTATTTTTCCATAGAACCGAATAAAACGACTGCGCTAAGCCAGAGCGCCAACTACGCTATAGGCCACATGAGCGGTTGAGGTAAACAAGAGTAACTCCGCAAAAAGGCCTCAGTTTTAACGAAGCCGTGCACTTTTAACACAAAACACCAGAGTGGAAAAAAGCAAAGCTGAAGAATATCTTACCTTTTCTGAGGAGGTCTTTGATATTGCGCTGTTAGCAAAACAGTTAGCTCCTTAGCTAAAATAACGATTTAGCTTCAAGTTCAAGCTTCTGGATATTAAGCAGAGTTGTTAAAGCGATAGTTTCGTCCAGAGAGGTTCTGGGCAGTGAAAAGGTTGCCGTTCAAGCACTGTTGAAGCAGGTAACCTTCACTGTCCGCCGAAAGAGGATGAACTGTGCAAGTGTACGGTGCTATCTCGATTTATATATGCTAGTGTGCGTCACTTCCGCTGAGGCGGGGCTTTGTGTAATTAAGTAAGCGTTTGGTAAATATGTCGATGGTAATTTCAAAACGTCATGAATAAAATATTATAAAAAGAAAAATAACCCACATTAATCATTACAATTTATTTATTTAATTACATTTCAATTCGATATGGCGGGACAAAAAAACATTAATCTAAAATTGTATCATAACTTGATTGCATTTCTTTCAGCATTATAATAAATATACCTGTGAAAAGGTTACAAAAACAGCCAAGACTTTTTAAAAACTTTTTGGCATTCTGTTTTTACAACTGAAAGTCATCGGCAAGGCCCAACGAGCTCAACATCCATGATCTCAGACAATACGAGTATGTGACATGACTCAGCGGTTTATGGATTAATCATTTCTTTGTATTTTTAATTTTCCACACTGGCATCAACACATTTATAACAAGTGAGAAACACATACGCCAGACCATGACTAACTAGCTTATTGGGAAACAGATAGTTTTGAAATTGTGAAATTTTATACATATTCTATTGAAACAAAGTGGAAATACCAGCGAAATGTATGACGTCTGGACTGAGTTGATCCATCTAATCTGTCTACATTTATCACAGAAACAATTAAGCTGCCATTTAATGATGATTCTGGGTCCTCCCTTGATAGAACACACACACACACACACACACACACACACACACACACACACACACACACACACACACACAGGTGTAATCTTGAGGGTCTGGGGTTGTGATGCAAGGTCAACGGTTACAGGAACCAGTGACCATAAATGATTGTTAGGACTTATGACACGTTAGGCACATAAAATGACCTCAGTAATTATGATTTGCATATTATGAACAAACACTAAAACCTCATGATAATCATTAGATGAATCAGTACTTTGTAGCAAAACCCTGACTACCAAATGTATCCATCCCATAAAATATATTAGAGCTGAAATGACCTTTAACCTTCAATATTACTGCATTTCAGTATGAAATGAGCTCACAAAGGGTTATCCAACACACACGCTCTAATAGTCTGATTCAGCTGTTTAGCAAATCATCTGACATGTTCCATTAGTCAGCAGCAGACACATCTGGTCATCAGACACAAGATCGCTTCTACCTGTAAATAATGTATTGTTGGCTTCCAGTGTCACCATGTTAATCACCATGACTCAGAATGCAGACATGAGGATCCATAATGAAATTGTTAGGTGTAACATGTCCTTCATTTACATATTTGTGATTTGCACCTTTGAAAATTCAAACCTAGAATCTCTTTTGTGTCCTCTCAACTCCAGTTGGTCTACTTTAGACAGGCCTCCCACCCGAGCCGGTTTCTGCTGGTGTCTAATCTGCTTGTTACCATAAATACACTCACCTAAAGGATTATTAGGAACACCTGTTCAACTTCTCCTTAATGCAATTATCAAATCAACCAATCACATGGCAGTTGCTTTAATGCATTTAGGGGTGTGGTCCTGGTCAAAACAATCTCCTGAACTCCAAACAATGTCAGAATGAGAAAGAAAGGTGATTTAAGCTGTTATGGGTGTGGCATGGTTGTTGGTGCCAAACGGGCCGGTCTCAGTATTTCACAACCTGCTCAGTTACAGGGATTTTCACCCACAACCATTTCTAGGGTTTACAAAGAATGGTGTGAAAAGGGAAAACATCCAGTATGCAACAGTCCTGAGGGCCAAAATGCCTTGTAGATGCTAGAGGTCAGAGGAGAATGGGCCGACTGATTCAAGCAGATAGAAGAGCAACTTTGACTGAAATAAACACTCGTTACAACTGAGGAATGCAGCAAAGTATTTGTGAAACCATAACACGCACAGCCGTGAGGCGGATGGGCTACAACAGCAGAAGACCCCACCGGGTACCCCTCATCTCCACTACAAACAGGAACAAGAGGCTACAATTTGCACGAGCTCATCAAAACTGGACAGTTGAAGACTGGAAAAATGTTGCCTGGTCTGATGAGTCACGATTTCTGTTGAGGCATTCAAATGGTAGTCAGAATTTGGCGTAAACAGAATGAGAACATGGATCCATCATGCCTTGTTGCCACTGTGCAGGCTGTTGGTGGTGGTGTAATGGTATGGGGGATGTTTTCTTGGCACTTTAGGCCAATTGAGAATCGTTTAAATGCCACGGGCTACCTGAGCATTGTTTCTGACCTTGTCCATCCCTTCATGACCACCATGTACTCATCCTCTGATGGCTACTTCCAGCAGGATAATGCACCATGTCATGAAGCTCCTATCATTTCAGATTGGTTTCTTGATCATGACGATGAGTTCTCTGTATTACAACAGCCCCCACAGTCACCAGATCTCAACCCGATAAAGCATCTTTGGGATGTGGTGGAACGGGAGCTTCGTGCCCTGGATGTCCATCCCACAAATCTCCATCAACTGCAAGATGCGATCCTATCAACATGGGCCAACATTTCTAAAGGCTTTCAGCACCTTGTTGAATCAATGCCACGTAGAATTAAGGCAGTTCTGAAGGCGAAAGGAGATCAAACATATTAGTATGGTGTTCCTAATAATCCTTTAGGTGAGTGTATATGGTGAATTTGTCTAAAATATTTTCAATTTACCGAATCTAATTTTATTTTGAATTTTTGCTTGAAACTTGATCAGACATAGCTGTTTATTGTTAAGTACTTTGAGATGACTATTAACAACCTGAAGCTAAAGTTTCTGTTGTGCCATCACAGCCAGCCATGACTTGGCATGAAATAAACATCAAAGACAAACAAAAACAGCAACAACTGTACTATTTTTAAAAATTTTATTTATAAACTGAAAGTGTTTAGTCAAAGAGGCCAAATCCCATGTCGTCATCAGACTCCTCAGACTCCTCTTTCTTCTCTTCCTTCTTCTCCTCAGCAGCTGCAAAACGAAAACACAAAAGTCACCTTTGTAGTTTTATTTCTCATCATGCATAAAAAATAAGGCTTACGCTCCAGACAATAACGCTAATTTTGCAGCATGTATTCACAGACTACACAATAGATGCCAAATGTCACAGACAACGACGAGGTGCTAGGCTGAAATGCTCACCTGCAGCAGGAGCAGCAGCACCACCTGAGCCAGCACCTGCAGAGCTAGCAACAGCCACAGCGCCCCCTGCTGGCATGCTGGCGAGTTTACTGTAACCTAAGGAGACAGGAGTTGGCAGAGAAGGACAGCAGATGTAGCAGCAATAGGACGAGTGAAAAACACAGTATGGGTATGTATTGGTATCTCCAAGCTTGAAGAAAACTAATTATTACAAATCCCTTTTCTACATTTGGCTAACATGATTTTATCTGAAACCATAATTAGACATTTAAGCATAATAAAACAACATAACACTTACCACTGGCAATCACATCATTCACATTCTTGCCTTTAAGCTCCGAGATGACCTGTTTAAAAAACAAGAGACCACATGAGACTCTCTGCATATAGTGATCAGCTGCTCGTGTAACCAACGTCGTGTCACTAAAAGCAGAAGGCAGGTGACCCTGTACCTTGGTCATACGTGTGTCGTCGGCCTCAATGCCAACACTCTCCAGAATCTTCTTGATGTCTTTGGCCTCAGGGTTTTCATTGCCACCCAGGGCAGAGAGAAGGTAAGCAGCAACGTAACGCATTCTGAAACACAAATTTTATCATTAAGGAATGGGAAAGCTGCACGACTAGAGAAAATAAAAATACAACCCAAGAGAATTACTGCACAGAGCAAATTTTGTTTATCGGCATAAAACAACTTACAGGTACAATGTCTGCTAAACCATATTAACAAAAAACTTTAAACCACAAAAATGCACAATATGTTACAATTTAAATAGAAATTATTTAAGGTTTGCATTCTGGCTGAACTGCACAGACAAATGTTAGCTGGGTGGGAACAGTAGAATCTTTACACATTAAGTTTTGTTTAATCCTCATACTTTTGAGTTTAAAAATACATTCAAGTTTTTTTATATCTAATATAAGAGTGTATTTTTCCTGATATTTCATTTACTGAATGTAAAAGTTAATAATTGTTTATTACTGGAATGTTTTAGTAGTTAATGACCACTGACTTCCCTCATTCATTTTCTCTCTTCCTTTCCTCACGTTTTCAATCACAATTTTTTTTCACTTTAAACATATTTTTAATCATTTTTTCGTCGTCTTCCTCCGCTTATCCGGGTCCGGGTCGCGGGGGCAGCATCCCAACTAGGGAGCTCCAGACCGTCCTCTCCCCGGCCACCTCCACCAGCTCCTCCGGCAGGACCCCAAGGCGTTCCCGGACCAGATTGGAGATGTAACCTCTCCAACGTGTCCTGGGTCGACCCGGGGGCCTCCTGCCGGCAGGACATCATTTTTTGAAAAAAAAAATTTATACTTGATTTTTTTTTTGTGTGAAGCGCCTCGTGATTTGTATCTTGAGCGCAATATAAAAAAATCGTTTTTTTCTTTCACTTATTGTCTTTATAAAAATGACACTTTAATTGCATAAGCAAATTGATTAAATGTGCCATTTTTGCAAACAAAATACATTTTCATCATGAAAGGTGAGGAAACTGGAACCTACAGACTAAACGTGCTGGTGCATTATTGAATGTGCTCAGGGTTACTTTAGCGTAACAAGCTCAAAAGCAAAATGATTTAGCTTCAATTCGATCTTTGATGTAAAATTATAATTTCCAGTTCGGTAACAGAAAAAAAATCTTGATGTGTTATAATCCAGGTATTGTCTTTTTCATTAACTATAACCTGAGTCGGTGCTGATTTACAGCCAGACTAATCCTGATCAGAAAGAAGCTAACAATCCGGTCTCTTTCCACAGGTCTGCCATGAGTTTACTCTCGACTTTCATTTAAAGCTAGACTGAACCGTAATAACAAGAGAAAACCATTTTCTAGTGTTCTTTTTTCATTGTGAGGTAGCGTAGTTCACCCTCTCGCTAACATTAGCTATTCAAGCTACAGCTAGTTACCACAAAAACACAATTAACGACGCCACAACGCAGTTTTCAACGCTTAAAATGTCTCGGTTGAATGTTTATTGTTTTATTTGGATAGAATGAATGTTTTCTCAGAGGTTGTCGTCTTAATTTTCCTTTACAAAGGGACTCACTTGAGCTAGGCAGGAGAACGCGTGTTCACTTCGAGGTAGGCTCGAACAGAAAGGAAGTGACGTACCTGTTGGGAGGCGGAAGTAAACTTTTTCTTCGTGTGGAACTAAAAACAAACACCAGCGACACTTTAAAAAATACCGACTCCTACTGGACAAAGTGTAGAATGCTGTTTTTAGATTACTTTGAGCTAACCACTGGTCAGACCATGGGTCATACACGTTTACGCTTCATTTTGTGTAAAAAAAAAAAAGAGTTCAAAACGGCAGGTGCTAATCTTTTATTTACAAAATCTTTGTGGGCAGAAAATTTACACAGAAACCAAAACTATTATCTTTTCAGTCATTTGCTTATTTTTTTATTAGAAAAATCTTGATAATTCCTCAGGAAACGTCTCCTTCAGCCAGGGTCTTGCTCTAACAACGTTTATAAGGTTAAAGAAAAATGGCATCAGAAACTTCATGGGAGAATTCCCAGGTAAAAAATAAACTGAAGAGGAGACTTTTATTTGACAACCTTCACAAATTTAGCTTATTTTGTGACTTTCCTTGGTCTTTGCTAAGAATGTTACTTGGGGTATAAAACAAAATAATCTATTAAACATCTCTGGGCTTTCCATCATATAAAACAAAACCAATTTAAACTTTTATTTTTTAAATGCAAAATATCCAACAATTGAACTTTTGTTCATCCTTTTTGTGGCCACATAGCTACATTAACAGGATGCAAAAGCTTGTATTCCCTATATATTTTATTTCAATGTTAAGATAGTAAATATTTTCTAATTGAAATGTTTTATAATGCACATTAAACACACATCTTCTGACTTGGCTCTTGGTACAGTTTGGCCTCCTGCTTTTCCTTCAGCTGCTGCTGCTTTCGTGCCAACAGGATGATTGAAATTAGCTGTCAGAAAGGATAAGGTGAACCTTCAACACATGAGCATCTATGGCAGACACCACCACTACCACCGAGAGAAACTCGCAGCTGGGCTGTGGTCTCATGCTGTCCTGTGAACCAGCTCTAATGAATCGCTGTCACAGGCGCCGCTTGGCTCCAGGCAGTGAGCCCTGGTCTGCAGCTGAGCTCTTGTTAGAGTTCACTTTCAGAAATATCTTCAGCACCTATAGATCTATAAGGCGTGACCCAGCTCTTTACTTGTAAATGGACTGAGATGAGACTGAAGATGGTTTACACACAGTCAGGCACACTCGATGCGCCTTGTTGCAGCTTTAATTAGAACTGGAAATAAAAATGTAATATGAAACCATCCTGAAGGCTTTCAATGTGAGCTTTAATAGATCAGAAGCTACATTTAAAGAGCAACTAAACCCCAAAACAACTTATTTTTTGCTTATAAACGGTATAATTGGGTCTTTACAAATGCAATCTTTCTGTTTCTGTGCATTTTGTAACATGTTTGTGTAAACATGACAAAATCTAGAATCTAGGTCTAAACACTTCTTAGTGCTGCCCCCTGTGGGTTGAACTGTGCCTACTGCTTTTTAAATTTGTGATTGGCTGGGGCTGGTACAATTTCATGTCATCAGTACAGACTCCTCCCACTCCCCCTCCCTTCCTGGATGGAAATTCCCCACATGTGGCCCTGCCACTCCGTGCCTCCTGGCAACGCCCACTTTCATAGCATTTTTCAAATCTTGACTAACCCCGGGTTTCCACAGGAGCCGTCAGCAGCACGTTACTGCAGCAGCACGTCTTGCTCGCGTAAGCTGCTGCTTGGCCCTTCCCACGAGACGCGAAGCAGCAGGGGAGCAGCTGTCACCGACCGAGCACGAAGTCACACGAGTGACTTCGTCAGTAAACACAACAACAAGCAGGAGAAAACTACAACATGGTTTGTGTTTTATGTTCTGTCCGTTTTATAATCGCCAATACGGACCTGAAAAACAAAGGAGACCGCTAGCTAGGTGATAACTTCTCACGGGGCCGCACAGTTAGTAATCTTTTTTAAAGTAAAGCAACCGGAAGGCAGTACGTTCTTTATTCTGAAAATCTCGGGAGCTTCTCTCCATTTCCACGTCCGATTTCCTGTCTTTCCTTCCCCAAAAATGTCGAACTTGACCCGTTTCAGAGGCGTCGCGCGTAGAAAATAGAACCGGCGCGTAAAGGCCGCGACATGCTGCTCCTGAGACGCGGCCGACTCGCGCTGCTGACGGCTCCAGTGGAAAAGGTTCTGTTGACCACAGCGGTTCCTATCAGCAGCTATGACGTGCTGCTGCAGTAACGTGCTGCTGACGGCTCTGGTGGAAAGCCGGGGTAAGGGTGGACTTACATTTTCTGATGGTGTGCAGTCCCTCTTTAAATGTTCTAAATCAGAAATGCTTTCATTTACAAATCTGATGGGAGTTTCCTAGAGGTGTAGAACACTCGTTTAATCAACACTTTTGCAGTGATCTCTGGTAGGAAAGAATGCCTTGTAGATCATAATCGGGGCAGAAAAAACACTGGTGCACCATTTCCAGGAACTAGAAATGAGCCACATCCCAGCTGAGCTTCAGACGGCAGGATTTGGCGTCCTATTCTCTGATATTAGGACCCTGGATTGTATACTACTAACACAACTCTACCACTGACTTACAGTGTGGATGTTTTATTTCAACAAATAACACATGCCTGGTGGAGTTCTGCTGTGTGGTGGAGATGCCAATGCTAACAGTTAGCATCTGCAAGTCGGGACGTTCTCTGTTGTTTTCTGGACGCTAAACCAAAAACAGCCTTCTCGATCCGGAGTCAAGATGGGCGAGTCCATGAATGTTTGACGTAGATCTGTCAGGATCTCCAAATCCTAGAAATTCACCATCTATTTTCTATCAGGAGCTAATGCAGGATAGGTGTAGGAGACTATTTTCACATCTTTGGTACATTCTTTCTGTGTTTGCCTTCAAATTCCATTTTTTTTAAACACAGGAAAGGTTTCTCTTTACCTTGCTAACAGCTTTTTTTGCAGTCGGCAAACAAAACTGTCAGCAAGGTAGGGAGACTATTTTCACGTTCAGCCTGTATTAAAAACTCAGTGACTGATTTTAATCAGAAATAATGATTAAAAATGGTTTTTCACAGTTCCACACCTTTAATAAAGTCAGTCAGAACTTTGTAGGGTTAGGCGACTGTTTCCATTGATTTTGTGGTTATTCCAAAGAAAAGTAAATGAATACCAAGTCTTTAAAATCCACAATTATAAGCACAATTTATTGAGTTTCTAGTACAACTATGTTCAAGGTTCTATGTCACAATGTCACATTTCTCATTCCACATCAATGTAGCACGGTTAAAGACAAACCCAACAACACAAAAAAGAACACCACCATCTACAGGCATTAAGATTACACAAGCACTGACCAAAATATCCCAAAACATTATCAAAACCTTAACAAATGTGTGAAGTCTGGTCTCAGTCCTACAAAGAAAAGAACCGTTAGTTCAGAGCTCGGAGAAGAAGCCCGGATCCGGCGTCAGAGCTTCTTTCTCCAGAAAGACTGAGCCGATGTGGCCGGGGCACACGGGTAAAACGCCAGCACCAACCAACCGGTCGTGGTTTCTCTTTTTGCATTTTAGGAAAACCATTTAGAAAACTGGAGAAAAATATCAAAACAAACCCATTATAAAAAATATTCTATTGACCATTCAGACATCCAGACAGGGGAAACGGGTAGGAAGGTGAATCCAGACATTCGGTAAGCCGCATCAGCCAAGTCTCGTACTGCTTCAGCAAACAAAAACAACTTAAATGTTATCTAATGTAGTTTTGTAAGCAACTGTTAAGTTTACCAGTTAGATTTCTGCTTTAACTAGATCAAAGCTGACTAAATGTTGATTATTAACCACGTGTTTAGTTTAATATCGTCAATAAATATTTGCTGCAACTCACTGATGTTGATCCACGCATCCCTGAAGGTTGGTGGCACAGGCTCCGCTGTAATCGTTTCTGTTAAAGTTCTTCAACATGACGACAAATATTCTGCATCGCTGCCCATCACTGAGTGACTCTGCATAGATGGCGGATTTGTGTTTAACGCTTATTTTGCCTCGTATTTCAGCATCTTCGTTCCAATTCACCGGGAGAACCGAGATGCCATTTTTGTTCTTCTAATGAGCGTATGAAACATCACACCAATGCACCAGAGAACCTGTACAGAAGCATGACTCAGCAGTTTGAGCTGCACCTACATGAACACACACAGATTATTACTGTGGGGTTTTTGTTGAAGCAGTTGAAGACTGATCACAAATGGCACACATGCACGTGTTTTTAAAGGTTTCCATCCTTTCTGATGAGATAAATACGGCTTTAGTGCAGCGGTTGTGTCGGACGGCGTGTTTTCAGCCCTGATGCGTGTCAGTTCTGTATTTACATTTGATGAACCTCTGATTATATTTACGTTGTTTTTGTGTCAGGTCTATCTCGTAAACAAACAAAAACAAGTGGTGCATTTATCTGGATTTCCACTAAATTTTACAAAACAATTCAGTCCTGAAGAACTGTTCAGGATCTACTGAGAGGTTAAAGTCACCTTACCCTACTTCACGAATCACAGCTGGTTTCAACGCTATTCTAGTGCCTCGGTGACGCGGCGTGTTCATCCTGAGACTGGACAACAGTATGGCTTAGTTAGCTCTAATAAAAACCGCCGCGTGCTTTACACACAAACTCTCTTAGAGGGGGAAAAACGGAATAAATCTCTGAAATTTAATCTAACCTGGCCCAAAACAGGGTTCTAGAGATTTGACATTATAAATAACGTCACACTCCCTTCAATCGACGTGCAGAAACTCACTTAAGCTGTAGCTGATGCAGGATTTGAAAGCAAACTTATTTGCAGACATGTTTGATGGGATTCATGCACCTCCATGAGTTTGAGCTCATAAATAAGACAGAAGATTAGCAACAATCAAGAATTACATGAAAAGTATGTTCTGATCACATGAGCATTGGCAGGATACTCAAACACTTCATGAATAAAAAACCAGAGTCTTTGTGTTCGGAATATTTTAGGTTATCGTGACAATTCGGATTCTTGCCTGATTAAAAAGTACAAGAGAATAAATCCAGCTGTTTTTCCAGGTGAAGAAACGCTCTCACGTTTCAACAAGGTGTGATTTGAACCAATCTGCGTTATAAACAGACCACAAGGACTTCAATTATTGCTTATGTTCATTAAAATAAGTGAACTTTTGCCTTATTTTGAATGTGGCATCATAAAATACACACTTCTATGTTATATGCATCTGAAGTAGCACCAGTAGGACCTTTAGCCTTTAATCAGAGGAAAACATAAATGAAGTGAAACATTCTTGTGCTGAAGATGGAAAAACACACAAGTGTGACACGAAACAAACAGCACGAGCTGATGGGACGTGTAAAAGTCAGCGTGTGGACGAACTTCTGCTTTTACATTCATCAACAAAGAGAAGAAAGCTGATCTCAGACATTGTTTTGGTCTACAGACTCCAGTCAGAGCTGGTTTGAACTTTAACTGCTAGAAAGTGAAGTTTTCCTCGAGTCAGAGGAAAAAACCGAACATTACATTCCCAACCACGCATCGTCACATCCACATGAACACATATGAGACGTGTGTAGTAAATGTTTGGAGACAAACGCGTGCACCGAGGCCCTTCGCTGTGAAGAATCTATTCAAAAACACTCCTTTTTCTGTCTTCAACAAGACGGAATTCACACACACACAAACAAACACACACACACACACACACACACACACACACACACACACACACACACACACACACACACACACACACACACACACACACACACACACACACACACACACACACACACACACACACACACACACACACACACACACACACACACACACACACACACACACACACACACACACACACACACACACACACACACACACACACACAGAGCCTCGTGCTGACGTTTTAGCTTCGGGTAACAATGACGCCCATTAGAAGTGCTACAGAGGAGGTTAGGACATGAAGGGTGTCTGCGTGCGAGAGGAGGCGTGTGCGTGGGGAGGCGGCTGGCCACCAACAGGGAGGAGCTAAATCCTACTGAGGGAAGTTGTTCTGTTGCCGGCGCTTGGCCGACCTCATCTTCTCAAAGCGTGACTCCATTTCCTCGAGGACCTTGGGGGTGTACCTGACCACCAGCTTGACCGTGCCCTGAGCTGCTTTGAGGAGTTCCACAGCTTTCTCATGGTGCTCCCCTTCCACGCTCTAACGAAACAACAAAACAAGCAGATCTCCACCTTGATGACAGTTCAAACCAACCACATTAAAGCTTTCATGATATAAATGTTACAGACAGAACTTTATGACAACAAAAAGTCACATTCACTGCTCAAAAATTATGTCTGGAACCACTTTGGAGTCGAAATAGCAAATATTTGATTTACTGGATTAAAATTAAATATTCTTAATTCTTTACTAACCCCCTATTTGTACCAGGTGCGTGAGCAGGGCATTGCATCAGCAGCACGGTTTTCTCACGGCTTCTGCAGCACGTTCATCCCCACCTTGAGTGCGGGGGCGGCAACCTAAGCCAAGAGGCCCAGTCTTCCCTCTCCCCAGCCACTTGAGCCAACTTCCCCGGGGGAATCCCAAGGCCTTCCTGGCCAGCTGAGAGACATTGTCCCTCCATCGTGTCCTGGGTCTTCTTTTAGGTCTTCTCCCAGTTGGGTGTACCCAGAAAACCTCACCAAGGAGACGTCCAGGAGGCATCCTGACCAGATGTCCGAGCCACCTCAACTGGCTCCTCTCGATGTGGAGGAGCAGCGGATCTACTCCAAGCCCCTCCCGGATGACCGAGCTTCTGCCCTTATCTCTAAGGGAGAGCCCAGCCACCCTGCAGAGAAAACTCATTTCAGCCGCTTGCATCTACGATCTCGTTCTTTTGGTCACTACCCAAAGCTCGTGACCATAGAGGGTAGGAGCGTATATCGAGCGGTAAATCGAGAGCATTGCTATTTGGCTCAGCTCTCTCTTCACCACGACAGACCAGTACAACGCCCGCATCACTGCACCAACCCACTTATTCCTCTCTCGCTCCATCTTTCCCTCACTCGTGAACAGGACCCTGAGATACTTGAAGGCACAACCTCGTCCCTGACCCGGAGACGGCATTCCTCCATGTTCCGACTCAAGACGATGGTCTCAGATTTAGAGAACATAACATTTTATAACATTATTTTTTCTTTTCGTCTAAACAAAACAAAAAAACACTGAAATAAAAATTAGTAAAGAAAAAAAAAGGAAACCCTTTTTAAACATTCTTCTTGATTACTCTGACTCATTTTATGCAGCCGTATTGGTTTGGTGGGAAAATCCTCAGCGAGCCATTTTTGTTTCCTACATGCTTCCAACATAACGCTGCATAAATATTCACCAGGATTTCTCCATTCACGTGGAAAACATCCATAAACGTTTACATTTCAAAGGACATGACACATTTAAACACATCTTGTAATACTCTGAACATCTTAAAAGATGCGGGGAAACCTAAACTTTACATTTTCAAATGTAACGAAGGCTTTGGACCGACTGTGTGTGATTTCCTGTTCAGCCCGATGTTAACAGCAAAGCTTGAATCCTTCCGAGAGAAGAGTACATCAAAAATAGAAGCCAAGCTGTAAAGCAGGAGTGGGGAACCCTGGTCCCGGAGGGCCGGTATCCTGCTCGTCTTTGCTCCAACACTTCTAATTCAGTGGTTGATTCACCTGTGCAGCAGCTCATCAGCCTCTGCAGAAGCCTGTTAATCACCTGCAGATTGAAATCAGGTGTGTTGAAGCAGGGTTGAAACTAAAATACGCTGGATGGTGGCCCTCGATGGACCAGGGTTCCCCACCCCTGCTGTAAAGGCTGTGGAAGAATGCCGCTGCCATAACACACCGCTCACACACACCTGCTGTAAACTGGAGGTAAGACTCATTCGACATTTTACCACTAAAGTTAGAGCAATGTATTGTGTTGCGATGGATCTCCCTGTTCGGATCATATCACGGTTTTAAGTCACGAATCGGATCATTTTTTGGATCAGCAGAAAGAAAAACACAAATATCTTAGCTCTCTCTCTCTTTGTTCTGTAGAACACTTAGTGCAACATTTTCTGCTCAATTTGAAACTTGCTATAAAAGCAGGAGATACAGAGAGGTCCGATTGCTGATTATATGTTAGAATGGCTTGCCCACCATTCACGTTCAGCTTTGCCTCATCTCCTCATCTTATCATCGTCTTCATCGTCGTCTTCCTCCGCTTATCCGGGTCCGGGGGCAGCATCCCAACTAGGGAGCTCCAGACCGTCCTCTCCCCGGCCTTCTCCACCAGCTCCTCCGGCAGGACCCCAAGGCGTTCCCGGACCAGATTGGAGATGTAACCTCTCCAACATGTCCTGGGTCGACCCGGGGGCCTTCTGCCGGCAGGACATGCCCGAAACACCTCAACTGACTCCTTTCGATCCGGAGGAGCAGCGGTTCTACTCTGAGTCCCTCCCGAATGTCCGAGCTCCTCACCCAATCTCTAATGCTGAGCCCGGCCACCCTACGGAGGAAACTCATTTCGGCCGCTTGTATCCGCGATCTCGTTCTTTCGGTCATTACCCAAAGCTCATGACCATAGGTGAGGATTGGGACGTAGATCGACCGGTAAATGGAGAGCCTGGCTTTCTGGCTCAGCTCCCTCTTCACCACGACAGATCGGCTCAGCGTCCGCATCACTGTGCATTACGCGCTGTTTATTTTTCTTTCATCCTCTTTAACAGATTTGTCTCCAACAATATTTGCAGGTCCTGCCACGTTTGTTATGTCCAAGGCATGTTTCATGCGCCACAGTCTCCTTCCTTTCACAGCGATCGGAGGTGTGTGTGTGTGTGCGGCACTGCGACAACAGACGGGAGGCGCGCGTGTGTGTTTATTTTTGCCGTTTGAATCATTGTTTTTTTTAGAGGGGAGCCAAAATGCTCCTATAAATATGACCTAAATGATGCAGGTGGTTTTTCAAGCTTCTCTCTCCTCCTCCTTCATGACCATCGCTGTGCGTTTCTCCTTTGGACAGCACAGCTAGCGCCTCCGGCCTTCATGTGACCAATCCGTGAACCGTGTGTGGCCGAACCGCAGAGAGAGATACGTACGGATCAATGATGATCCGTTGCACCCCACCAACGTATGAAGATCATCAGTTATGACCAAACGACTTTTATTCTGATGGGGCTTCCTCGTCCTCCTCATCAAGCTAACTAATGGAGATGTAATCGGACTCAGACTTTATACCTGCTTATGAGTGATCACAAGATTATGAACGCGTAGCCCTTTAAAAACCAGAATATTAAAAAAACTTCTGACACTAAAAGTCAGTCGTTTGGGCTTTTCTGTATGCAGAAATTTCTGAAGATGCATGGATTATCCCTCCCCAAAAAAGCAACACGCTCTAAAACCTGATACGTGCTTCATATTAAGATTCAAATTTACAATTCTTGACCTAATAATGATTCTCTGAGCTGCACGTACCACCCCATTAACAGAGAGAAGCTGGTCGCCTCTTTTCAGGCCTCCATGTCGGTCAGCGATGCCTCCTGGGATGATCCGCGAGATGTAAATAGGCGAGTTTTGCTCCTTTCCGCCCATTATATTGAAACCCAGACCTTCTTCTGTCTTGGGCAGTTCCACAACACGAGGATGGGAGTGTCCTTCACTTGCTGCAAAAGCTGCCACAGTAGCCTTTGAAAATAAAACAAACTCTTTAAAAATGTACAACAATTGATGCATAAAGTAGTTTTGAGACGGAGGAGATTTCTTGTGTATGAGCTTTACTTTAGCTGTGGCGTTGGCTCTGACCTCAGGACTGCTGTTGATGTCTACCGTTTCATACACATGCTCATAAACCTGAGGGGGAAAAAGCACCAAACGAACAGAACTTTATAACAAGGAGGAAGAAAAATCTGTGGAGTTTAGAGTTGGAATGAAGAGTCTCACCTCTCTGACAGCGTTACAGAATTCACTCTGTAGGACTCGCTGCAGCGCCTGCAGCTTCTGCGGAGGCACTTCCCCTGTTCTCTGCAGCTTATCAAGCAGCTCAATTGCACGATTGATATCTATCAAAGAGAGCATAATGCCATCACAGCTTACACACAGTCCAAAACAAACCACTATAAAAGATTAAAATGAGCATTAAATTTGCCTGTATTGATGCCAGCACTCAAGTCTTAAAAGTAAAAGCAGAAAAGGTGCTCGATAAATCTACGTAAAAGGACTATTTGATTTATATTCTTGTCTTTTACTGGACATGTCTTTAAATATTCTAAGACTTCCATTGGGTTTGTTTCATTGATGTCTGAAAGAAGTGATCTGCATAAGTGAAATGAAGCAGATTCAAAATCCTGAATGGTGTTGAAAAATAAAAAAAGAGAACATCTGCTGGGTAAAAATTTTTAAGAAAATTTTAAATAGTTCAGAGGGTTTTTATATCAACCAGTAAAGAATTACATGTGAAATAAATGACTGTAAAATATAAACAGCACCCCCTACTGCACAGGAAGGCCAAAACTTGTTTATCAATCACACTCATTATGTATTATTAAAGGTGCAGTATGTGGAAATATAGTGAGAATTTTACAGCGAGAAAATCCCAAATGAGTCATGTTTTGGTCATTTTGCGAGGAAAGTTCTACTGAAACATATTTCATTTCCAGCTGGCTGCAGGGATTATCAGTTTTTTTCATTTTTCAAAACAAAGGAAGGAGGGACATAGTTATTGTTTACCATCAGTGAGTTGGGTTGTCGTGTCTCCTGCGAGCTAACACTGCAGCGCAGACAACTGTAATTTGACGACGGCCGGCAAAAAGCTCCAGAGTTTTTTAATGTGGTTGACGTAACCAAATTTTACCAAAGGATGTCATTTTTACTTAATTTCTACATAATGCACATTTAAAGTCATCTCGATTGAGCGGCACAGACCGATGTTAAATGATCAGATTCCTGACATTTATTAACTAAATGTTTGTTTATGTATTTAGCAGACGCTTTTGTCCAAAGCGACTAACAAGTGATAATCGGCATAAATGGAAGAGAAACGAGTTCCCACAACAGATTTGATCATTTGAACACTTTTAAAGCCACTAGAGACGAGTACATTTAAGGCTAAAATACACATCACCTACTTTCAACGGTTTCTAAGTGATTAAAAACAACCTGCAATTTTTCAAAATATCAAAAAATTAAGATATGTAGCAGGATACTGGCAGAAATATAGTTTGCATTACAAATATCTCTTCATGAGCTCCCAGTTCAATTCATAAATATATTTAAAATCGATTTCAAAAAGCACTCAGTAAACAAGCTCCGATTAAAGATTTCTTAGTTTTTCTTTGATGTTTGTGACCAGAGCTGGCTCACAATGAAAGTCGGACTGATACTTTCACTTGTTTTTACACAGATGTGACAATTACAGCTTATTTCACTTTAACAAATGCAATTTGCGTCATGTTCGACGTGTAATTTCTGAGAAGCAAAACGTGCCTTTACTGCTTTAATGACAATATTATACCTCGCATTTATTTCCCAACATACTGACTGGGCTGGTCAATCGCTGCTGTTATTAGCTACTTAGCTAGTGAGCGAATTAAACAAATACCGCTAAGGTATGCTTCGTTTAGCTTGGTCAAGTAAAACGCAGCTCTACGGGCAATATCAGATATATACATTTATGACAAGCAAATGTCAAAATATGTACCAAAAAACAACTCCCAGTTTGATTCAAACAACTAGAGCTAAACTGGGTAAACGTCTCTCGTTCACAACAAATAAAGCTAGCTAGCTAATTAACATTACCTCTTTCCAGTCGCACAGGTTCCCCCAGAGATGCCATTCTCGAAATGAGAGGCTATCTGGTATTAAATAGATACTGCGATACAAGAAATATACAAAAAAAAAAAACTAAATTCGTAAATCCAGCCGACCGTTTCGTACGCTTAACTGGCACGATAAATCAGATTAGCTAAGTTAGCTCGGCTAGGCTAGCTGCCAGTGTCATGGTGCGTTCAGGGACCCTAGTAAAGCTGATTACTCGGTGGACAAAGCATTCTGTTGACATTTTTAGGTAATTATAAATGACAGATTGAATTCTGCGTATTTCTTATCTTGTTTATTTGTATTGATGTGAAATTTTAAGAGATCAGGCGCAGCAACAAAATCACAAATTTTGTAGCAGTTACTTCTGTAACTAAATCTGGAACAGAAAACTTCATTTTAGAAGTTTAGTGTCATTCTGAATACTTTTAGTTCAAGATTAGGTTTCTAGGTTTGATTTAGCTTTATAGAAATATGAATGAGATGATGATGAGTAACCAAAGCAACATTTTTATTGATATTTTTCACTTTCTTAATAGCAAATAATAATTTCAGCTCATCAAACTCAGTTTTTCCAGTCTTCATCAGATTGTACCCTGTCAGTGTCTGGACACCAGGAACCTTGTTAGGAAGCTTGAATGAATGTTCTGGATGGTATCCAGGAAAGCTGATGGGAGGAGCAGCCTCTTTAGTGCCCTCCTCTGGTTTGCTGCAGCTCTTCTAGAGGCTCTGGTTCATAAATCAGCAGAAAACAGCTGCTCTCTGTGGGCTGAAACTTTGCAGGATGATTCATTTCTGACCCCACCCCAGCTGGTGATGAAACACAAACAATTTACCTTGAAAAGCTGGTGGTGAAAAACGGAACCCTGCTGTGACGTACGACTGGATCTCCAACACTGTGCTGCATCAGTAATTTCCTTTATTGGACAACAGATGCTCTGATTTGCTTGTTTTCATTCATCAGGGACAAACCTGGGTCAAATAAATGCCACAGTATTCATGTATTGTCTCTAAGCTCTTTTGATGCTCACATTAAATCTATAATTAGACGTCTTCTTGCTTGCAGAGTGCAACGAAAATGGCCCAAGGTCTCTGTTCAGAGAAACTGGAGCACATACTTTATGGAGCAAGCTTCCCTGTTTGATTCATTGTATTTTTTTATGCAGAGGATACGTTAGTACTTGACTAGGGCAAAACGGCTTCAACTCCAACTTAAGGTGGAATTTCTTTGAAGAGCAGGGCAGTTTTTTTCCTGCAGCAGCATTGTGGCCTTGAAAAGAAGCCCGTTGTTTGATGTTTACGACAGCAGCACATTTAAGGATCTACAGCATGCTTGTCGTCTCTCTTTGAGTCTAAGTAGTTTAAATTGTGCTTCAAACAAAGCAAAACAAAGATACCTCACAGAATTCCAACTGCTGTCTCTGGTGGGTCCATCAAGGCAGAGTTTATTTTTCTTCGTTCGGCAGATCTCAGAAAGTTGCAGCGTCCTTGTTAGTCGCACTTACCTTCAGGTTGGAGAGGAGGAAGTAAAATGAAGTGTTTCTCTGGAAATCTTGATGAAACATTCGGTGCATTTTGTGTGTTTATTTAGAAATCTTCCATACTGAGGATTTGGTTTTTGCTGACCTAGTTCAACCTTGAACGACGGCGTCGACACCCGGCAAGGGAAGTTTTCTCACCCTCTAATGCGCCGCTGGAGGGAACGTTGATGTAAAGCTGCAGAAGCCTCCCAGAAGCAAAGACTACCTTTTCCTTCTGATCGTGTAAAGCTCCATGAAATCGGTGATGATTGTTCTTCGGACTCAAAGACAGGATTACCCTACTGTCACAACAAAATGTTGAGTGCATAAATGTACACAGATGTATGGGTGGTTGGATCCATCACTGTCAAACTCGGGCACGCCTGATGTGTACCCAACTAGTCTGCACTTGAACATGTAGGCACGCTCCTTCTGATGTCGAGTTCTTGTAATTGTGAAACATCACTCCAGCGGGTTATTATCATCAGGTAAATCTCCAAACTTTGGCATGTAAATAAAAAAAAAGTGTCAGAGCTCAGGTCATTGTGCCGGTGGGAAGCAGGCGGTGGTTTGGGGGCATTTTCCAAACTTTTTGTCTTCTCATTAACTTCAAGAGTGGCATCCTTCCCACCCACCGATGGTGTTTGCTGATGATCCCGCAGCCCCCAAAACCAACCGAGCAACTTCACCGACGTTTCTCAAATGTGATGCAGTTCATATCTGTCGTGTGTGTCAGAAACACGTCGGGTTTTCCACGCTTGCACGTCTCCATCATGCGCCTGCTTCTACCTTCTCAGAGGCCTAATTGAATTAAGTGTCCGCTCTGGGAGATCGGGGCTCGAATCCCGGTTGGGTCGTACCAAAGACTTTCAAAAAAATGGGACCCAATGCCTCCCTGCTTGACACTCAGCTTTAAGGGGTTGGAATGGGGGGGGGGGGGGGGGGGGGGGGGGGTTTAAACCACTAAATAGTTCCTGAGAGCAGCCACCGCTGCAGCTCCCCACGGGGATGGGTTAAATACGAACATGTAATTTCACCAGTGTGTGAAGGTGAGTATGAGACTTTAACTCCGGACAAGCGGAGTCAGGCGGCCTAAAAATGCGTTGATTAAACTTTATCGACATGGATTTAGGTTTTTCAGTTGCCTATAGTCATTTTTATTTCTTCAAATATTTCAGTTTAATATTGCAAACAACTTCACAACATACAAAATGAATAATATTAACCCAGAAACATGTCAATGACTATATATATATATATATAAGCTCTTTAAATATATCTTATTCTCTGGTGGGGATAAAAAAATAAACAGCAAAGCTTTGACAACAGCACCTTGACATAGTATGTATTTCCAACATGACCTTGAGAAGTTTAGAACAGTAAACAGATAAATTACTCGAGAGGAGACGTCTTCTGTTGAATATGTAAACGGAATGTTGTTGTTTTTTCTTCTTTTTTTTTTGGTCAGCATATTTTCCTTTTTCCTTTATTTTTTTGGGGGAAGTTGAGAATTTCTCAATTCACAATTGAAGCAGCATGCAAGCCTTTGAAGATGGAACTGTCCTCTCGTTCCTTTGCCTGTTTCCTTTATTTTTTTCCTTCATTTTTTTTTGTAATTCTTGGCAACGTAAACAAGTCACAATGTCTTGATTTATGTGTCATAGTAATTTAAACTGGGCGCAAATGACTGATCAGATTTTTTTAATTGTTTACAAGGTCATGAATATGTTCAATAAATAGACTGTAATATCACTTTACTGTAGAAACTTCATCTTTTTTTACATGCAGTCCATAAAATTTTTCATTTGACGGAATAATTTACCCTGTTATGTATATATACAAATAGATATTTTCTCTTTATTCTCTTTTTTAAACTCTTCAATAAAATCTATACATTTTATACACTATCTCCCTCTTTTAATGGTCAATGTGCATACACATGAAGTGTCTATCCTTATAAACCGCCAGCCAATCTTCTTTTTGCTATCCATGGTGAGCGCTCGCACGTAGGACTGGGTTGTCCTGCATTGGGAGTTATAATGCCGCTTGTCTATTCCTCTGCAGCCGTCCTTTGTGTACCCCATGGGGTTGCATTTGGTCTCATAAAAGTATTGCTTCAGCTGGCCATTGGGGACAGGGACCTTTTCCATGACGGTAACTGTCTGCCCGGACATGTCTATTGCCGTCTTTTTATCCACAGCTGTCACCCACTGGCTAATACTGTCACACACACTCAGCTCTCCACGCCGTGAGGGGTCGGAGTGTCGCCTCACCCTCATGGACATGTTTGCAGCATCCAGATAGTTTTTGTATTCCTCCAGAAGAAAGAGCAACGGCGGCTCCAAAGGCACTTGGTTGCTGATCATCACCCGCGAGTTGTACAGGTCGACATCCTTGTTCTCTGTGGTGACCACGGGCAACGGGCCCCCGCCTCCCTGGCTCTTGTCAGACCCCTGTCCCAGCTGTGCGGCCTCTCCCTCCACCTCCAGCAGCTCCTCGATCACCTGCTCGAACGTGTCTGTGAGCGAGGGCAGCTCGCCGTGCTGGCCCGGCCCGCCGCCACTCTGCAGAGTCCCGTGGCCTCGAGCGGTCGTCGCAGCAGCGCCCAAGTAGCCTTCCGTCCGATGGCCCCGAATGCCCGGGGCGTCTCTCAGGGGCGCAGCTCTCATGCAACTGAAGTATGAAATAACCATAGTAAGGAACAGGATGGTCATCACTCTTCTAACCTGGTGGAACTGGAGGGGGGAGATGGAGAGAAAAGAAGGAAGAGAAAGAAGAAGACGGTTAGTCAACGGGCATTTTAAACAAGTTGGCTCATCCTTAACCCACAATGCATCACGCAAGCCTCCGCTCCTCCTCGCCTTTTTCACTTTTTACGCCCACCGCTCTTTGTTTGCACACCAAATAAAACGAGAGCTTCTGAATAACCACAGCATGTTTTTGTCAAACTGATGTTGGCACCGTGTCGCCATCAGTGTTTTCAAATTGTTTGCAAACTGTGATCCATGTCAGGTCTGGCTTAGATTTCTATTTGTTGGCAGCAAAACACAAAAGCTGTGCTGGGCATCAGCGAGACTGCTTATTCCTAAAGATGAGATTACACACATGGACGCTGAAACGTCCTCACAGGCGTGCGATTATTCATGAACTGGTGTGTTGACAGTGTGTGCAGACACGTGCAGTTTTTTTAATGGCCAAACCCATCATTCGTCCTGCTCTGCGTTGCTGGCTGCATCTGGTTTTAAAAGCCCCAGGAATCAGGGCTGCGCTGACGGTTCGTTGTCATCGCAGAGTCAATCTCACGGTCTCCCTACATGCCCACAGATGATTCAGACCATGTTGGACAAAGTGCTGCAGCACGTGCAGAGGGTTGGGAAAACAGAAGGCACTGGGAAAAGTCAGGAAATGATTGATTTGTAACTGATACCATTATTGCAATAGTCACTCGTATCACAGTTTCATGTTGAAGCTCCAACAGAAAGTTTAGATTTTTGTCCTTTTTTCAAAAAAAGTCAGATAACAATAAAACGGACCAACAGTGAACTGGAAAACCAAAGAGTTCATTCCCCTCAGAAAGCTGTCAAAGTGACTTCTGAGTGGTAAATATTGCGTTTCCAGTGATGCTGGTAAACAGCAGCGCTGCAGTGTTGGTTATATGACCAACAAACTGGTCCGTGCTGCAGGACCGGTCCTCTCTCTGGACCTCGTGATCATGAATGGAGACCTGGGGGTCTGTTTGTTAAGAGAAGCTGTTTGCTTTTGGCAGGTGACCGGCAAGTGCAGAGCCAGATAAATTAACAGGATGTCACGAGGAAGCTGTATGACAAAAATGGATGCTTCATCCTTTTCCTGCACCGTGTCAAGCCCACACGGCTGAGGAGGGCAGCTCAGGAAATGAGCAGAGTGCTGCCAGGGTTAAAGAGAAAAGCTGCAGGGAGCCAGGTGTTGCTAAAAGGCTGAACATACGTCCTCATCGTTGCATCGCCTGGGCACATTTGCATCCCTTACCTCCGAGGAGCTCTAAGATTCACAAATCATTGAACTGGTGGACATCCAACAGCCAGAGACATAAAAGCAACCCTAGAGAAAAAAATCTAGATCTTGCTTTCCACGGGGGCTTATTTAAAAATAGCCCGGCTGAGGCTTTGACTGCAATCCGCATGTCCCGAACCTGATTCAGGAAAAAACGCCGAGCCAACACGCTCCTGTCTCCACTAAGGATGGGCACGAGGACCTTCTCCAGCAGGGAGGAGCGAAACCGCACCTTAAAAGCATTTGTTTCACTCTTAATTGGTATCTGGGGCTGGGGCTGCAATTAACCGACTCCACGGTGAGCGCCGTAGAGAGATCTCAGCTAAAAATAGACGTGCTGGGAGTCTCACAGTCTCAATTCAGAATATCACATCCTTCTTCTTAATGAGCCACTCACTCCCTGAGCTCAGTGACGCGCTATTCCAGAGTGTGTGAGTGCGTGTGTTAGAGGGAGGGCATGGGGAGGGGCTTGTGTTTGTGTGTGTGTGTGTGTTTCTATGAGAAGGGACGGAGGGTATTTTTCCTCTCACCAACTAAAACAACTATAAGGGCAAAGGCCAATGAAGAGCTCATTATCTAAATGATCCTTGAAGATGTTCGGTGAATCCCTCTCATCCCTCAGATGAGGTGTTGGTTCTTCAGTCATCCTTCCCAGCACAGACATCCATGTCGGTTTACGGGACGGAGGCCAGTCACGAGCTTTATGTGTAGGATGCATTTAGGCTGATATTATTATCTGCACCAATTGGTTCCACTTCCACATGAGGGAAGTGACGGCAGAGGGCTGATTACTGTTAGGCGTCAAACTTCATGCTGGAAATGGTGCAGACGAGGAGTGCTGCATCTTCCGTAACAGACCACAGGGGTAATGTTGCAGTAGCAGGGGGTGGGGAGAGCGCCGGCGTCATTTCGCAGCATAACAACCACAGATGACGTCTCTTCCAGGTCTCCAAAGGGGAGAGAGAGGATGGAGGGGAGGAGGTTGCCGGGGGTAATGCCACTCAACGGTGCGCAATTGCCTGCTGCTCCCCCGGGTACCCTCACACCGGGAACAACAGATGATTTTATTTCTATCTTTGTTATTTCCTGTTTCCATCAGGACAATCAATGTGGCTCATGCTCTCAATCAACATCCTGTTAAAACGCGATAAAACCAGTGAATCATTTCATCGCCGAGGGACCGGCGGAGAATCCGCGCCCCGCATCCACGCATGTGACAAATGCTTGGTTTGCTCATCCAAGAGAGGGAATGTTTTATGTGGATTTGACAATAAAGACAAAAATGGTTTGAGTGTTAACATGCTGAGCATGAATAATGAATCCAGGCAGATGATAAAAAATCTACTTCTGGGGGTTTCTGGATGAGATGCTGGTGAGTAAAGTCCTTTAAACCGAAGTGAATCAAGCAGAAATTTCATTCTAAAATCCAGGTGAAGTCAACAGTGGCGCCCCCAAGAGGTGGCCATGGCCACTGTCCACACACAGGGAAGACAAGTGTTCTTTAATAAGTCATATTAATGTTGTTGTTTTTTAATGAAAACGAATAAGGAGCATTTATTGCATCACTACAGGCTAAACTTTCCCAGATTTACCACAAGGATCAATTTGGTGCGCCACCTCCAAAGTTTTTCCTGGCCCCATGGCCACCTTTTTGAAACTTTTCTGGGGGGCACCACGAAAAGTCAAGTTTCAGCTTCTAAACGAGGCACTAGCAACACAAAGCAGAGGGAAATAAAGCTGCTGCTCAAACATGCCTCTGTCCATGACAACACACAGAGCCTGAACAATGGCTGCAGCAGGTGAGTGTTTGGACTCCAGCTACTGTTTGGCTTTGACATCTCTCTGGATGACCACCTGTTCCTCTGCGTGGAGAGCTCGGCTGCAGAACAAGGACGTGTAACTTACCCTCGCAGTTATTCTTTGTGCCAGGTGGGGATTAAAGTGATAAATGCCTCTTTTGACAGTTGCTGAAAAGTTTCTCTAAAGCATGAAAGTGCTAGTAAGACTAGTATTACAGCACATTCAGTAACATCCCCCCAGCCTCTCTGCACATGTCAGCACGCTTTGTGGCTCCATCTTTACCGACTGCATGCACGATATCTCAATACGCCGTTACAAAGGAGCACAACACCAGCAGCAGAGATGAAAGAGCGAAGCGTGTCCGCGTATCTGAACAGAAAAAAGGTGCATCTTTTACTCTCTGCCTCCACCACTGCTCCCACGTGGGCATCCATCATTGTTTAATTCCTCCAGAACCACGGTGGCTTGAACTATTTACCTAGCTGCATGTTTAGTCACGCTCGACACGCTCAGCACACGTTTCCAAACGCTCACTTTGGGGGGAAGAAAAACAACAAATAGTATCAGCCCTCATAACCACAATGCAGCGCTTTAAAAGAGAGACAAGCACGTTGACTTAAAAGAGTTGTCTGCACTAATGGCAGACATGTGTGGAAGCTGAAGCCATGTTTCCAATCAGAAACAAGCTTCAGAGCCCAATTACTTATAGATGCGCATCGCCACAAACTACAACTGTTCTCCAGGCTGGCCCAGGAGTGATTACCCCCAACGAGTCGCCACCTCCCTCCCCCTCTGTGCAGTGGACAGAATTTGATGCATACTGTCCAAAGTTACTCTTGCATGAGGCAGAATAATCAATCCACTTTATGTGTTAATGCACACGGCTTCCTGGTGGAAGCTTTGTGAAGAAATCCATAATTCATTTTAAGCCTTGAACAATAAAACTCAACCACTAAAAACAAGAGGCCTTCTGCTCCAGGGTGACAACGCTGCGGTTCCATAGAGCTAACGCTAGAGGGCGCACGAGACCGTGGAATAGTTCTTCCACCCTCTATTTTACCACCTAGATATAGATATTTACCACCTAGATATAGATAGATAGATAGATAGATAGATAGATAGATAGATAGATAGATAGATAGATAGATAGATAGATAGATAGATAGATAGATAGATAGATAGATAGATAGATAGATAGATAGATAGATAGGATTAACTGACATTTTTGGCGCATTCCTTCTTCGACATTCGTTCTAATTGCGCACCCTTCTGCGGTGGTGGTAAACCCACTCTCTTTTTTTCCACAAAGCTATCAGAAATACATCCATTTTATTGGTTTTCTGTTTATGTCGTGAAGTAACTCAACACTAAAGCCAACAGTTTAAGTTGGCCGCAGTTGAGCGTGTGGGTCTCGGGTGACCCATAAAGTCTTAATGAGTTTTGTTTTTCCTCTCCAGAAACAACGACAGAAAACAATCAGAAATTTATTCTTTTTCTTTTTTCTTCTTTTGCTCAGCAGGGGGAGGGCACTAATAAATACACAAACACTAAGAGAGGAGGACTTTTATTGGAGATTTTTTTAAACTATTAAAGGGCAACAAAAAAAGCGGCTAAGGGTGTGCGTATTTACGCACGGACGCGTGGTTGCCTGCGATTAAAACCGACTTAAATAGTTTTCGTGTCGCACAGTAGTGAAACAACAGTTTCCTATCCTTCATTTTTCATGAGGTTACATCTCCTGAGCTCCTCGGCTTGAAACCCAATCAACATAATAAGTGCGTTTTTTATTAATGAACGGGAGGATAAGGTTACTCTTGTCTCCTCTCGGGCTGTTCGCAGAAGAACGGGTCTGCATCGAGCTACTTTCAGACCCCCCCCCCCCCCCCCCCCCCCCCCACACACACACACACACACTTCTGAATAAACACCGGTTACATTCCACATTTAAGAGAATCAAACAAATTCCAAAGTGCTTCAAACATCTCTATTGTCGCCAGAATGAAACAAAGTCGCAGCCTACCTTTTACTGCCCAGTCGTAAAACAGACCATTCAACAGGACAGTGGTGTCATCTGGGGGATGTGTTGGACAACTCCCTGAGTAATTTACTTAAAGCGCGGTGTGTGTTTTTGTTTCCTCTCTGCGCTCTCCCGACAGAAGCTTCAGGATGTCTCTTCAGCTTTGGAGCAAATAGATTAAATTATTGATGGTGGAAATTGCACGGCTGCTGAGGTAATGCACTCCCATGATGGCTGCGCGGCTCGTTTGGAGATCGTCTGAGAGTGAAGTTGTCGCCTTTTGCCGGAACGCCGCCGCCGCAGCCGCAGCAGCACACGGGATGGAGAGAGAGACAGAAATGAGGAGCCTCTTTCCAACTACAGTAACTTTACTACACGGTGACGCTGCAACATGTGACCTGCCGCTGGCTGACTGTCTAAACAGCCCAGAGGCGCTCCCAGCATGCGTTATACGTGCCTCTGTTTGTCCGCATACTGCGCAGCCCGCACACGCACCACAATGTCTGATAATATTGTGCAAAACAAAAGCGAAGGCTCTCCTCTCCTCTTTTTTCTCAGCCAGCAGAGGGGAGGTGTGCTTTTCTTTTTTTCAAAGCTTTTGCGTAACAGCGCGCGTCTCCACCAAAGTCGTGATCCACTGGATGGCCTGTTTGTGTAAAATTAGATATTCAGATGGTTAAAATAAGCAGTTCTTGTAAGGATCTGCACACACAGAAGAGCCTGAGAAAAAAAGAACTCCTCCATTTATCTATATATGGGGACTATTTTCAGCTTTAAATCCACCTTTTATTGATTTTTTGTGTCCAAATCAGGAATAAAATATCTTGTGCCAGCATGACTCACTTTCCTAACTTCTGAAATTTAAGTGTCAGCTCTAAAAATGACTATTTCTAGGACTTTAAAAGACAGTGGCACCACCAAAGGGGAGTCAGAGGGGGGATGGCCACCCCTTCTGTCAAGTTAAATAACCCTAAGTAGGCCTTCATTAAAGGACTAATGCTTATTATAATTAGACGTCATTATTATGCAACTTTCTCTGTGGCCTATGATCAGGGTTCATATCCCTCCCTGCTTGACACTCAGCTTTAAGGGGTTGGATTGAGGGGATAAACCACCAAATAGTTCCTGAATGCAGACGCAGCTCGTCGCGCACCTCGAGGATGGGTCACATGCGGAGACGTCATTTCACCAGAGTGTGATGATGAACGAGACTAAAAATCTCCTTTATAACTCATTCAATTCCGTTTAATTTGGGGCCACCATTGCTGGCCCTTTTCTAAACTTTCTGGCTCCATCCTCCCCAAGCAGGACCATGTTTCACTGGTTTCATCACCAACCCAAACAAACCTGGTCAAACAGTAAACACTGAGACAATGAGACAGGCTATGCTGCTGGACACTCCCTTCGTCTGGAACAAACTGGGAACAATTCATTCCCTTCGTAAACTGGATCCAAATAAAGAAGCCCCGTCCGCTCTAGTGAACGTTTAAGAAGTTCCACCTCTGATGAACATGAGAGCAAGCCCCCCCGACTTGGACCTGGTCCAGAGCAAAGATTTATTGTGATGTGGTTGCTGGATTGCCATCGTGATTCTTCTCTGCGTGTGCTCAAGAGCTGGAGAGCTCTTCTCGTTTGGCAATGCAGCAGTATGGGAGTGGATGCTCACACCTGCTTAATGAGTCACTCCCACCTCCAACACACCCGGGGACATGCCAAGATAGATATAGCCCTCCCTGAAGGCTCACAGGAGGTGAGGGCAAACTCTGGATGACAAAGAGTTGCATCAGCAATCACTGAGCGACATGACTCCAAAGAGTATAATAAAAATGCACACTGCATGAAGGGGCTGTTCCAAACAAGTAATTCATAAATAAATCACTCGGCATCTCGTTAAAAGAGCAAAACAACAACAACATGGCCTCCCTCTTTCATTTCTGCAAATGCAGCACAAATAAAGGTTTCAAGTCTTCTGCATGACTCGGATTCCAGTGGCTAAACTTGTGAATGAAATGATTAAAACATCTGAAATAAAGAAACCACGAGCACATTTTCCAGCTTTGGCTTGGTGTGATGCAACGGGGCATCGCTCTGAAAACCCCACCACTGCTTCACCTGAAACCAGGTGTAAGACTTGTTTAAGGTTTAAGATTTCTCCACCCTGACTTCCTAGAATGACTTCCTCACTTCGTGGGCGTTCCAAGGAAAAATGTCTGCAGGTTTGAGGTGTCAGGTTCGGCCGTGTTGTCCCCTCTTCACATCCTCCTGCCCTGTTGGTGCAGCAGGAGGGAGAACCATGCTGACAACACGAGGCACACTTGTATAACCTTTCAAATCTCTTTAAGAAATGGCAGCATGACACTGACGGGGCCGCAAAGCAAGTAGAATTATGCCTCCTTGTGCAAGAGAGGAGCTGTGTAACATGGGCGAAATGACATTTTGTGAAATGTCATTTTCACTGGGGATAAAGGGAGGCGATGGGGGTATTTTGATCAAATAGGAATTGCATTCCTGCTCAAGGAGCAAAACACGTCAACTGGGAAAACGTTTTGTACAAGACCGGCTGACGTCAAAGGAGTGGAGAGTGAGCTGGAAGAAGTGACAAACTGGTAAAGTCAGCGTAGACCGCACTTTTAATGGGATACTGAGCGAAGAGCTAATGTCATCCCTCCTGTGATGACAATAACCTTTAATGTAATCATGAGACAGCCACAGCAGACCAGTTTTCTAAGCCTCATACCCACCATCCCTCCCTCCCTCCCCGCACATCCTCATGCAGGTGATGCACTACACCTCTGTAGGCCGTCACTGCAAATCACTCCAGCCTGCCAAGTCCCACCAAAAACACACCAGTCCTGCCGTAAAGCTACCCCCAATTACCAAACAAAACAAACTAATTCTCTTGAAATTTAGACAATTTGTCAGTCTCACCGTGAACCAGACAGCCTAAGATGTCACCAAATCATTAATTTACTTTATGATTTAAATTCATGAAAAATTAAATCAATTTTAGTTTTTGTGGCTAAAAACACACACACACACACACACACACACACACACACACACACACACACACACACACACACAACAGAAGTTTCTCATTTCAGTGCTGCATGTTCCAATGCTGGGAAATACACACACACACACACACACACACACACACACACACACACACACACACACACACACACACACACACACACACACACACACACACACACACACACCGCAGTGGTCTACTGTATTAATAACAGCTCGTGGGCTCCGTCGCCACCATCACGCCGCTGAATGACGATAATTAAAGATGCAACAAAAAAAGAAGAGGTTCCTGCCAGAACTTGTCTGAGCGAGCTCGTTAACCGGATGAAGGTGCGACTGATGAAGATGATGGCGCGGTGACTAAAGCAGGAGCGACCGCGGCGGAGGGCGGCGGAGCCCACATTTCCATAGTGATTAAGATGATTAATTTTAGCTCTAAATATATCGTGACGTCCGCTTAGCCGTGAGCCGAGATTTCCGCCCAAAATAATCAATATCCTATTTATTATTTGTATGAGACATCGCCGCGGATTAAAGCGGCTTTTCATGAATGAAAAGGCAACGTGGACCATCACGTTCCGACTTTCATCAAATTAGATTAAAAAAAATCCCCGCACGTTTATTTCTGATGGATTAAAAACGCAACAAGGCCAACGTTTATATACATAAAAACGAGAAAAAACATTAGCAGCTGAAATTATTTAACGCTTAATGATATTTTTTTTTATTTATGTGCATTTTTTTCGTTAAACTAACAAGGCCTACCGAGAGAACCCCATCTGCTTTTTATTATTACTATTATTATTATTAATAATATTATTATTTTGCGGTGAAACCTACCATCAGGTTTGTTATTGACGCCCACCTCAACTCTGCAGAGCTGAGCGGGATGGAGAGAGAAAGGGGAGATTCTCGGTAAAGATAGCACGCGCGGAGACGCACGCACGCAGGCGCGAGCGCACGCGGGTGCACGCCCGCACACAAGCGCACCCAGCCCCATTTATGGACTGATCCGCTGACGTACATTGCAGAAAAGTGCTATAAAAAAACCTTCATCCATACAAAGTGTGTCGTGCCACCCCACAGACCCCTCCTAACCCGCCTCCGCTCATCCCTCCTCCTCCACCCAACACGCCCACGCCCACCATAATCCCACGTCTCAGTGGGAAAAAAAACAATTAAAAATACTGCTACATGGCCAGAAAATAACCATTCTGCTGATAAAGTGGTAGATTATAAACACATATGGCAGAAAAAATGCGATGCTATTAAAATAAAAAGCATTCAGTTTAGTAGTGAATAAAAAAGACATTTTAAAAACGCAAATGAACATAATTTATCTGTTTTTATGAGAATCTGAAGCCTGGAGGTGATTATTACGGTTGCGACGTCATTAAAAGGTTTTTTTTTATGAATGTCCGCACAGCCCTATTAGTAAAATTATTTATTTTGGTTTCAGTGTCTGATAATAAAAGAAAAACAAATCCGATCTGCGCATCTCTGAGCAAAGAAAAGACGGAAAAATCCCAACATTTCAACGCACTCACGAATTTACTGGATGCATTTGTATTTATTTTGAAGGGAGGCTGCAGGAGGAGGTTTTGATTAAAACGGGACTGTCAGTGGGCGTTGGGGCTTTTCTCTTCGCTTGCTTGTTGTTTTGCCATGCAGTTGTTTCGTTTTAGATCAGAAATCTTATATCTTTGACCAAAAAGGAAAAAGAAGATGAGTGAGCGAGGGGGAGGAAGGGGTGAGGGGGAAAGGAGAGAGAGAGAGAGAGAGAGACAGAGAGAGAGAGAGAGAGAGAGAGGGGGGGGGGGGGGGGTAGACAATATCCACAGCTTCTGCATCGGTGCCAGATGCTTTTTAGAGGCTACAAGTCATCAAGTAGTGCTAATAATTCAGAAACCATCACTTGCTTTAGAGAACGCACACGTGTGCTTTAATTTAGGGGAGGGAGGGAGAGAGACGGAACGATGCTTCCTGAACATTTCCAAGCCATCTTATCTCTCAGCATCACGTTCAGCCATAACATCTGTCAGTGCACTTTGACCACGCCCATCTTTGTTGTATATATTTTTTTCATTTCCATGTTTTCTTTTCTCTAAACGCGGAAATCAAGTAGCGGTCTGTGACGCTGAAGGAAGCCCGATTCCTGCAAAAGCAATTAATCCCTTCATGTTTACGCCTTCATTTTTCATTGATTCTTTCGTTTTCCCTTTTTTACTCCTTTTTATCACTCACTAGCCTGACATAGAGCTATGTCTACGGACCAAAGAAAAGAAAAGAAAAGAGAAGAGGAGGCGGGCAGGGTAGCAGGCGAAGTGAAAAGCACCTTATGAATGAAACCGTGGAGCGGTCGTAGTAAAAACACAAGTGATTTGATGGCGATGACTGGGTTGGGGGGGGGGGGGGGTTAAGAAGGGGGGGGGGGGGTATGGCTATTTTTGGTTGATAACAAAATCCAGAGGGTTTGACATCAAGACAAAACATGAATGCAGCAGACCAAACAAAAAAATCTA